GCGAAGGAAGTTTTGGCGCAGTACGTATCTCACGACCAACCATCGCAGCCAGGAACGCCGAATGGTGAGTCCCCAACCATAACTATGGCTGCTTTCCAACTCGTCTACTTGCGGGCTTTCACTAACTGAAAAATAGGCAGCTCCGGATATTCTACACAACCTTCCATTGTCTCTCGTAGTCGGCTAGATCTTCAAATGGTCCCCGACTCGCTTCCCAAAGATATGTTTCATAGAGTTACAAAGCACTTTGAAGAGGGACTCGAAAAGGAGCAGCTGGACGCCTTCAAGGCCACAGACCTTCGTGCTTTGAAGAAAGAGCTGAAGAAGATTCAGGATGAACAAGGACAATCGCACTCTCTGCGAAATCTTCGTCGTATCGAGCGCTTTATTCAAGCGATGGAACAGATTGGAACCGTTCTGGAGGATATCCTAGGCACCAGCAAAGATATGTCTCTTATTTGGGGTCCAGTGAAGGCCTTACTGCAGGTATGGGTCTCTCATGGCCTGTCCAAATTCCGATCTAATGTGATCCTAGACAGCAAAGGGTAATGTGGATCTATTCGACACGCTTCTGGCAGCCTACGAAAGTATTGGTGACCAGCTGCCAATGCTTGGAGCCTATCGTGAGTTCTTCAAGAGCTATGTGGGCTTGCAGCGAATATTGGCAAGAACTTTTGCTCTTATTCTGGAATTCCATGAGAATGCAATTAGATTATACTCCGGGAGAGGTATGGGATCACGATGTCTACCTGGTGAAGGGTACTGATTTTGCACACCGCAGCTCTAAGAACCGTATTTCGACCACTATGGAAGGACTTCGAAGCAATATTTGTTCTCATTTTGGGCGAAATTGGCTCCCATAGGACACTGATCGAAGATAAGACCATGGCCTTATACAGCCACCCGGGATACTATCCTATGGATGCGCAAGAAATCCGAAACCACCTCGAGAGCACCAGCAACAACATGCACTTGTCCAAGGAGAAGCAGAAAATAGTACGAGAGAAGATGTATGATGAGGTCAGATGCTGGATTGCAGGCGCTGCAGGGGTTTCAGGCGTCGAAGATGTTGCAGACGCTAAAGGCGCCGAGACTGAGAGTGATCACAACAACATCTGCCGTGACCGAAGCTTTTACCCCGGTAGCGGTAGCTGGATTCTGGAGAATGAAAAGGTCAAGAAATGGCTATCTCCGGAGCCAGAGCAGTCATCCAACTCTATGCTATGGATCAATGGGCGTCCGGGGACCGGTACCTATCAATACCTCTTGCTTCCTTGTGCATAACTTTCTAACGTATGCATCTACCAGGTAAAACATATCTAGCATCGGTCATAATTGAGGCCTGCCTGGGGGACTCCTCTTCACTTACATGCTACTTCTACTGCAAGGAAAAAGTGAAGTCGAGAAACTCTGCGATTGCAGTGCTCCGTGGTATTCTCTTGCAACTTGCGCGCCAGCACCGCGAATTGATCCCTTATTGCCACGCGAAGATCAAGAGCTCGGGAAGCCTCATGCTATCGGATCTGTCCACGGCACATGGTATCCTGGAGGTGTTTTGTGAACGGATTTCTCGATTAAACGTGGTCATAGACGGCGTTGACGAGTGTGAAGAGCAAAGAAAGGATTTGATTGACACATTTAGGATTTTGGTCCGGAAAAACGAAATCTATTCGAAAGGGAAACTTCGCGTCCTCTTTCTAAGTCGTCCCATGAATGAAGTCAAAAATGCATTACCGGAGGCTGAGATGCTTGCGCTGGAACCGGAGCACAACAGGCAAGACATTCAAAAGTATTGTGAGTGCAGAAAACGCGAGTTCCAGAAGTTTGGATTTGGCAACGAGTACCTCAAAGATGTTGTGCAGGTTATATGTACAAGAGCAGATGGTGAAGGGAGAAAATGTATCCTGACATATATGGTGTCTCCTAACATTTCTATAGGAATGTTTCTGTTCGCTAAGCTGGTCATGAACAATTTGAAAGAGCAACCAACCAAGGAAGACTTTCGCACTGAGACCACCGCTGCAATATTACCCAGTGAGATCGACCAAGCGTACGTGACCCTCTTCTGCCAGCGTTTCAATTTCAGTTTCCTAGCCGATGACTAACTGCTGGGTAGATATGTCCGAATCATGGAGCGCCTCAAGCGTGACCTCGGTTCAAAACAATATGAATATACGGAATTATTGCTCGGTTGGTTAGTATGCTCGAAAAGGCCTCTGAAGTGGACAGAGATACAAGTGGCACTATCCACCGATATTAAGACATGGGGTCGTTCGAGTGAAGTCAATCCCGACCGCAGACTAGAAGACGATGTTCAAGAATTGTGCGGATCTCTTGTTCAGGTCCTCAAGGGTAACCGAATCGAGCTTGTCCACAGCACAGCTAGACTGTAATAAATCTCTCTCCTCTCCCCGGATATAGCCAAGCGCTCACACAGAACTAGGTTCATAATCCAGAAAAGCAATATACGAATATCTGCAGCGGAGTGCGACCTCGCTCTTCGTTGCCTGCGGTATCTTAGCCTTGATATCTTTAGGCCTGATGTTTCCGCCTCAAGACTCCGGGAGAATGCTTTGAGTGGTGACTTTGCCTTCCAAGACTACGCGGTGGCAGCCTGGTTTCTACATATAGGGACATTGATTGAGAAGAAACATGATTTCCTGGAAGAGGGAATAAACGGCCAAGACCGGGTTGCAAGAATATCCCGAGAACTCGAGCATTTCGTGGGCTTCTATCAAGCAAGTTTTTCAGTAGATGGCAGCAGCATTCTGGAGCAAGTGTGGATAGATTGTGCATTCTTTCAACAGTACCCCTTTTATAATAACCTTGTCAGAATCTGGAATCATATCTGCTGCGGGCAAAGGGGAGACTTGGAATCACGCAACAATGTGAGCATTCCTTTGCTCAAGGGAACGCTAGCTCGCAACCGAAAACTGCTGGAAGACCTAAGCACAGATGATACAGTTGTTCTATCCAGGCTCAATGATGAGTACCCCTTCCGCTGTCCTAAGGTATTGTGCTTCTATTTCCACGAGGGTTTCAAAAATGCGATAGCCCGTGACAAGCATGAAGATCATCACAACCGCCCATTCCGCTGCACAGTAGAGAACTGTACAATGAATGGGATGGGATTTGCCGAGAAAAGCCGACTTACGGCACACATGAAGAGATTTCATCCCGAGGAGCGCGACCTGGGCGAAACGTTCACACCTTACGAACGGAAGAGGCCAGTAGGTGCCCGCTATGAATGTCCTATTTGCAAAAAGCGTCTCGTGAGGAAGAATATCCTGCAGGATCACCAGAGAATCCATACCGGAGAGAAGCCATTTCGGTGCTCTGAGTGTGGCAAGGGGTTTGCGAGGAGTTATGACAAGAAACGACATGAGAAAATCCATGAGAAACGACGAAGATAGAATGATTACCATGATCCTAGACAGGTCTAGTACTATACATAGAAGGTTAAAATTCCTTATTAGGGCACTATCCTGGCTCTTTTCTATAGTTGAGAAACTCGCATATGCAAAATATACATCTACTTGTGACGCATCCCGTCGCATCTATAAACGTATATCAATACGGAACAAATAGTAGTTTCCTGGATTCAACTATAACTACTCAGACTTGAGTAGTAAGGCTTTACTCGATACGTTTTCTTCAAAGTACTGAATTGTAAGCCCTAAAATGCAATGCTACGTGGCATGTCGACAATCCCTGAATATATCGCCCCATCTGACAACTTGAATTCGCTCATGAAGCTAGCCATCATGATTCTTCCCATTTAATAGGGTTCAAGTACGAACGAAACAGTTAAATTTCATTCAGTCGATAGAGTTCGCACAGAAATAGTGAGCCCACTATGTACTCCCCCAACGTGAATACGAGCTGTGGCATTTTTATTGGACGACAAATTCATATCAGTATCCTGCGGGGAGCTCAAAGTGCAGTGAGGTGAGGCGATTGAATTAGGTAGAGCCTGATAGGTGGGAAGCAATTGGATGTTTTCTTTTGGGCACTAAAAGTGCACCGAGTGAGGCAATTGAAGTAATTAGAGCCTGATAGGTGGGAGGTAATGGGATATTCTCTCTTGGGAGCTAAATCTGCAGTGAGGTGACGCAACGTGAGCAGTCAGAGCCTATTAGGTAAGAAGCGATGGAATATGCTCTCTTGGGAGCTAAAAGTGCAGTGCATACAGAGTATAAATAGTTAGAGCCTGGTAGATAGGAAGTAATAGGATATACTCCTTTGAAAACTAAAAATATAGTAAGTACAGTATTGAACAGTTAGAGTCTAATAAATAGAAGATAATAGAATATTCTCTTTTAAGAGCTAAATTTATAGTAAGGTAATATAATATAAGAAGTTAGAACTTAATAAATAGAAAATAATAGAATATACTCTTTTAAAAGCTAAAAGTATAGTAAATAAGATATTGAATAGTTAGAACCTGATAGATAGGAAGCGATGGAATATTCTCTCTTGGGAGCTAAATTTGCAGTACAACTGCGCAATTGCGCAAGTAGTCATAGATGGAAAGCAAGATGGATATCCTCTCTTGATACCTGAATGCAGTGTAGGATAGCGAAAGGCTGGCACAGGTGTCTAGTGTTAGCACCCTCTTAGATGTTTTTGATTCAATTGCATAGAACAGTGTGTAAAATTCTCTCTTAAGACCAGTGATAATGCAGGGGCGCTGAATCCTGATATAGTGGGACTATGCTGAGGAGGATTTCTTGAGATTGGAAAATGGAGTAAAATCTTCAAAGACGGCGAATCACGTTTTATTAGTTGCATACTTTATGATAAAGAATAAACACCATTCTATGGAAGCTCAAACCGGGCAACGACAGACATTCAGAGCCAAGGAGAGTGGATCTGAAAGCTTCCTGGGAACAGATGGAAGGTAGAACCGACTCACGATGGAGGCTTCGGAACAATTGCGCATATTTGGCACTGCCTGGACTCTTTTTAGGGGCCATTGTTGTATCTCCTGTGTCAAAAGGCTATTTGCTATCTATGATATATTGATATGTTTTGAAGTCATATTCCCTAGGGCACTTGTACACTTCGAAAGATATATTCCCCTCTGTTCCTATCGTTTCGCTGACCTCTCCATCAGTTTCTCCAAGGATTGCTTGCATGCGATAGCGCACTCGGTAGCCACGCGATGGTACACAGTCTGAGTCCAACCGCACCAGGTGATGATCGTGACGAGCAATAACGTAATTAGGAGGTTTGTTAACGAGCATCGCAAAGAGACTCAGATATGACTTCTCATCATTCCAGATATGCTCTTCTTCTGAGCGTGTCAGGTATTGCCGAATAGAATCAATCTGGTTTTCGGCATGCCGCGGCCCATTCATCCATCGTACTGATTGCAGAAACGCCGCATTCTCCCGACCAATACCGATCAGGAATACCGGGATCTGATCGGACACTTCGAAGATGAAAGAATTGAGGCTGTAGAGTACCCGTCGTGCTTCGTTGTAGACCTGACGGTTGACAGCCAGCAGAGTCAAAAGGTTGTTTTTCGGGTTGTGCTGTAGCCATAACCCTTGCCGATCTGGATAAACAAACGATGACAAAAGGTGTGCTCCAAACTTAATATTACCGAAGCACAGAACGAACTTGTATATCATGTATCGAAGTTCTAAGTTGGATAGGCATTAGTAAATCCGTCCTCTTTGTGACAACAAGACGTCGGAACGCCGATTCCTTCTCCCAGTAGTGAACTACAGACCGAAAGGAAGTCGAAGAAAAGGAAAGGTTCCTGTCCGTTGCCAGACTTTAACTGTTTCCTCCTCGAACCGAAATGGCCATTCTCGATTCCGGCGTTGTCTCTTGGTGCCTGGTTGGGAATCACCATCTGGAACATTGTCGTGCGGCTCGTGCCTTGAATAGATAACATGTTCAATGAATTGCCGGCGCAGATTGATGATCTTAGAGCAACCTGGGCATCGATACTGGCACTGGTCTATTGCATCAGGATCGAGAATCCTCTCAATCTTCAAAACGTCATGGATTCCATCGGCGGGTATTCGCCTTTCCCCTGTGTATCGATACAGGTGGTCACGGAGGCCTCTCTTGTGCACATATTGCTTTTCGCAAAATGTGCATACTTGCGCCTGCCAGGGCATCCTGTTGTGAGCGCTTCTGTCTTTCTCTTGAAAGAAATCGAGGCATTTGTCGTTAAGGGCCCTAAATATGAAGATTTACATAAGGATGTGACATCTCTAAGCTTGTTTGTTCCCCAGGCACCTATCGCTGCCTAATTGAATGGAATGCGCGGGCTCTCACCGCCCTGCACCTCCTCCCTTACGTTCAGTTGTAGGCAGAACAACAAACTACCGAGTACCTGCAGGCTTCAACTGAACCCTTCCTATACTCCTAGTATGTATGCCAAGATCTGCTAATCTTCTTCAGGATAGCATATCTAGACAGTATCTGATTGGCTAAGATACTGGATGCCCCGGGTGGGCTATCCGGAATAGGTAATAATTTCCAGAACGACAACAACCGCAAAGGTAGAGAGAGGGTTACGTACTATCCACGTCCTCAAGGTCCCAGAAGTAGTAAGATGGAATGTAAAAAAAAGATTCATTCTGACAAGGCTAAATTCTGCTCAAACAGGCTGCTAAGTTCTAATCATGATCATTAAGTGCAATGGTAAATTCTATTACGAATGGAATTCTTTCCCTTTTCCGGTCCACCACCAGCTCCCCTAGACAGCGATTGCCGTGGCAAGGTTGGCATTGAGGCTGCCCTTCAAGTCGTCCTTCTCGGTGTAGCCGTCCACAGGTGTGGGGAAAGTGAAGGTATCTTGGCTGACAACAGATTCCTGGGGAAGACTTCGTTGAGCGGGCCAGATCTCGTGGCCAGCGGCGTCTTCCTTCTTGTTGTGTTCGGTCACGACCTCCCGTACAGTCTTCTGGAAGTGGAGAGGACCCATCTCCATCTCCGGGTGGAGCTGGCCGTTGACAAAGACGCCGGCGTTCAAGTTCTTCTGTGTGTGGATGCAGAGGTACTTGTCCTCGGACATGATTCGCTTGTACATGTCGCTGATAAGCTTGAATTGGTCGTCGCTAGCGTCCTTGTGCCGATAGACTTCGTAGCGCATGACGGACTTGGTGGGGCTCATGGGAGTAAATCGCTGCATGAAGAAGAAGTGTGGGCTGGAACATAATTAGTCAGGGTCTAAAGTTTGATGAGTGGAAGAAGACACTTACGAGATGTTGAAAGAAGCATTGGGCCAGAAGTAGGTAGTAGCGATGCGGAAGCCCTTGTCAATCTGGTCTTGTCGCTGAGCACCGTAGTGCTGGATGTGACCATCTTTAGTCTTGACATAGTAGGAGTTGAGATCGGCGATGGTAGGGATATCGGGGTGAGCGACTTGGCAGTGGTAGCACTCATTGTAGTTATCGGCGAGAATCTTCCAGTTGAAGTCGCCCTCCATGTCCCATGTGTGGTCGAAGTTGTATTCGTCGAAGTTGTAGTGCTGGAATCGGGGCTGCTCATCGACTCCCTCGAAGTCGTCCTTCCAAGCCACCTCGGGGGTCTCGCTGGCATCCAGGTTGACCCAGACGAAGCCGTTGCGGTCAATGTGTGTGTGAACCGGAGCGAGATCGCTGCTGAGGCAAGCCTTGATGTTTCCTTGGTGGTCCTTCATGACAACGAATTCGTAGCCAGCTGCGTCATACTGGACCCAGTCACCAGCGTTGGGAACGCGGGCCTTGTGGGTAGTGAGGAGCCACTTGCGGGAGAAGATGGAGCGTCGCTCAAGCTGGTACATGGCTTGGGAAGTGTACCAGGAAGCAGGCAGAGCACGGATAGGCGTGTTCCCCTCCTCCTTGACCGCCGTAGCGGAGGTACCAAAGAAGTTCCTCAAGAAAGACATTGTGTGAAGATGTTTTTGTTATTATTAAGATAACTAAAGAGACTGAGACTCTGATGATGGAACTTTGCTTTGGAGTTGTTGTTGATTACACTTGACTTTCGCAGACGTCTGCCCTTCTAAATAGCCATCACGATCCGCTTGACACGGAGCTCTCGAAACCCTATCCGAACCATATCCAAGCATTCAGGCCCGATACCGATGACCTGCGATGACAATCAGGTGGCCAATTCCAACGGGAGATATAGCTAGGTGCCGATCAGGTGATCGGTAGGGCCACAACGGGACCGAACCGAATGGCTGAAAGTGTTATCAAGAACCCCCTGCCGTCGAGCCCAAAGAGTCCAGCCCAGCGCATGGTCCCCCACCATTGGCTCTTCAGAGTCCTATCTTGATCTAGAACCCAGGATGGATCCGTCCCCGGCGGTTCGGTGGCAACCCGTCCCACACCGGCGGTTTAAACATACCTTAAATGGCAGTATTTATCATAAACGGTCCCCCAGACCGACGGCCACCCTCAAATCCGGATTTGCGGGGACAATCCGCAAGATGCTTGTGATAGCCAGAATGAGTAGCCAGACTACTCCGTACACCCAATGGTAATGGCGACGGTACCGCCCGTGCCGTATTAGTAGTCACGAGAACCCTCAGGGGCTGAGAGACTGCAGAAGTCATGATCCTAGATGTTCCCAGAATAGAATCCAGGAGCAGATAACCGGATCAGTTTCTGGTTGGTATATGGTCGCATCTACAACCTCGGAGAGCTTGAATGTGGTGATACGGAAGAAGGTATGGTAGGTATGAGTCCCTCACGTTTACTACACTCGCTGCGGATTTAATTGGCAGGAAATCCAAAGACCAATTTCATACATAATTAGGTATTACAGGGCGCGTGGCTGGGAGGATACAGATCACCTGGAATCATTGTGATAAGACCTGGCCCGACTCCGGGCACCGGTACAGGCAGAGTTTACTGGAACTCAATCAAGCTGATCCAGCACCAATCAAGGGAAGCATGCACTCTTGGCCCCTCGGTGCTAATTTTACAATGCGATAAACTCTCGAGAACTCTCTTTGCTGAAATTCCAGAAGTTCTTTGGTTGATTGCTGCTGATGCAGGAATGCTCATCAAGGGGGAAGGACGTCCACGTGAGGAACACCCCCAGCGAACCATAAGTTTCTATTACATAGCCAGTTAAGGTATAATTGCCGTCTTAATGCAACTAGAGTTGGACGTATGAACAAGGTGTAGGTGCACTGGTACCTCTACCAGGCCATAGCGGTGCTATGAGCATCTTGACACCCTCTTTGGGAGACGCCTCGGCCCAATTTGTACAACAGAAACACGCCTATTCTAAACATGACTACCTCTAACTAATGCCCCGCAGAAATGTCGCGTATCTGGCCTGGTAAGTTCATTTCAAAAGTCTTCCTCGCAACTACGAAGTATTAACAACGGGTTCACGTTGGAAGCTATAAGAATATCCTCCCCCCCCCCCCTCCTTCTCTTGCTGTTATTGGGAAATATAAAGTTCTGCCCTGACTGCGAAGATACGTTTGAGGAGATAAACTGATACCAACCCCATCCAGCGTTTTCTCGAGCCAATCACAGCATAGTCTTCATTCAACATGTCTACCCTGTATCTCAAATCCTGTAATGATAAACTGGGTCTGAATCTAAATCAAACCTTCTTGAGCGTCCCATATCCATTGTCAGGTGGTAACCAAGCCGGTCAAGAGTTGTGTCTCATTCATCGTGGTGAGCCGCTTCATCCCTTTAGGGCGTCTCGGTTGCTTGTGTTACTGGTCTTAATAGAGTACCTGTACCTGGTAAATTTCCACTCATTGTATGACCTAGATCTACGATGTCCCGTGTTTTGCCGGATGGTTGTGCTGCCACATCTACCTTCGACCAGGAGATTATATGCATGGCCACAGACCAATGGGGTAATCGGGTTGCCATACCGGAAGAGGCATTGTAGCCTTTTCTTTCTTTACTGTATGACAGCTAATTGGATTAGGTCCTTTGATTAGCCCCGGAAAAGTTCAGTTAGCCCGACACAGATGGATAGCACCTTTTAGATGTTACCCCCACACCGTTGCCCGGTACGCCCGTGCTGACTTAACAAAGAAACAAAACTGTTCCTGGTTCGATGTAATGTCCATGTTATTGAGCTCAGGGGTGGCCTTGACTGGCTAGAATAACAAGAATAGTAAGGCTTGAAGTATCCAGATTTATATAAATTGCCAGAACGAGGTCTTTGTAGGATGGCTTGGAAGACTGCTATCCATTCACATGGTCTTCACGTTCTCCTTATATTTCCGGAATACGTCTGTTTTAACTTTCAAGAGATGTATTTCATGTTACTTATCGCTGCTTTATATCTGTCAGCTTTAGCTGCTGGTCAAGGCGCAGGCAAATCCAAGCCGTCTAATCCGCAAAGCTTTAAAGTGTTCTATTCCGAATGGCGCACCCGGTGTCCTGATATCAAGATAATGCAGCATGGCAAATATGAAGGAAAAAATGCCTACCCATCACAACACTTGGTCACAAAGTGCAATGTTATGGGGGATGATGGGAATGAGTTCACGCTAACGACGGCTATTCCCTTGAATATGTGCATTGGTTGGAAGTCGGATCAGTCCGACAAAAGGAAAACTACATTCATTGCAGAACATATGTATATATCTCTTCCCGTGTCTCACAATGCTGGCTAATGTTCCTAGGGGAGGGGGACCTACAAAAGGCAAATGTTGGAATTGCGACTACCGAAGTCTACAGAGAGAGAATCTTGCTTGCTGGTGCCAAGACGTGGAAGTCTCTGAAATGGTTCAGGAACAAAAGTCGAAGGCCAAGGGAGCCCAAAGGTTTTTCAATCTGGGTACGTGTTCTGCATGTTATACTTTAGACTACTTCCTAACCTCATGGCTACAGATGAAGTAATGAAAATTGACAAATACGGTTATCCAACATGCCATGGTAGCAGAGCGTGGCCATATCTGGAAAATGGAAAGGGTGATGATGCTTACTTTATTACCTCCTTGAAAGGAAAATCATTTCCAGAGGAAAAGCCTTGGCCAGGGATTGAACAATTCTGGACCGACGTGCTCTCGTCTCCACCAGAAACTCTGCCTAGACTTCTAGGAAATCAGCTTGGATCCCCGCCATCAGGCCCTGGTGGGAGGGGCCATTGAGGCCATCTCATCTCTGGGGGTAATACAGCTCTATTGTCCATTCCATGCAGGAACTAGCTATCTGCAAATCTCGGATTTTGTGTATGTACTTGATGACGTTAAGGTCTAAGATACCTTCGTTGAGGTGCATGGCTATTGTAACTACACTGGTAGTACTCACGTACTTCTAGAGGAATTCAGTCTTCCAAGATCTGGCTTAATGTTGGGTTGGCATAGAATGCTACATCAGGAAAATGGAGTAGGGTGTATACTCCCCCAAATCCTAATGTTCGAGCCAGCACCGCGTCTTACCGTGACCTTGTTTTCTCTTTTCCCCCAGTTCAGTTACTATGTTGTCAGCAACATTCATAGCCAGCGTTGACAGATTGCCAATCAGCTTATTTGCCAAGCTTGCATGGAACCTTCCAATCTTTGATCTCTCAAATTTGATACTGTTGTTATAAATGGTTTGGTATCATGGACTTTAGGTGGAAAACAAGTCATTTAATACGCTATTCGCATTTGGTCTAGAGCATCACATGATTAGGGTTTGGAAGAGCTTCTGTGTAGCTGTAGATTTATCCAGGTCCATAGGCACCGCCCTGTTCACCGCCTCTTTCTCTCTGCATATGTTCGACATTTGGCTGGTTTGTGATAGAAGACAGCTAAGTTTCACACAGACTATTGCTGATTCTGGTCAAACGGAGTACTTCATGGATATCTAACCAAGATCCCAAGTATGCCATACTCCTTGTGATTAGCCGAGTGGATTTTCGCCAGGCGTGATGGCCAATAAGATGTCCAGCGGGCAGAGTGGACCCGTGGATGAAGTTGCACACGTTAAGGGGTCATCGGCATCTGTGTCCTCCTTTCCCAAAATGCCGGTGTTAGCTGCTCCGGATCGCCAGCGATCCTACAGGCCTAGGGCCAAGAGAGGCTGCTTGACGTGCAAGTAAGTAACAGCGGTTTAGATCTTCTGTTGATTTCCCATCCGTCGTCATTCGTTGCGATTGGATGCGACTGGTAATCTGAATCCAGCTGACCCTCGAATAGAAGTAAGACAGATCGGGTGTCTAGACTGTGAATTCTACAAGGTAGATACTAAATTGGACCGCGTAGAGCGACGCATCAAATGTGACGAAGCCAGGCCCCATTGTTTGAAATGCTCATCAACGGGTCGCAAGTGCGATGGGTATGAGGCGCCAAGTCCTCCACCTCCCCAACGGAACACTTGTCTCCGGCTGCCATATATCTACCCTCAGACCCTGCAGTACCCAGGCAACACTCGGGAAACGAGATCGTTCCAGTTCTTCTATGAACGCACCGTGTCTTCTTTAGCGGGACTTTGTGGGTCCGAATTCTGGTCCGGACTCGTGTTGCGGGTCAGTCAGCATGAGACCGCCGTTTACCATGCCTTGATTGCATTAGGCTCCTTGCACGAGAACTTTGAGAACGGCCACTGGCTGACCCAACGAGGGGTTGATACCTTCGCTGTGCAGCAATATGTGTCGGCTATCAGGGCGCTCCTGGGATCCTCGAACTCATTGCCCCGCGTGAGCCCGGGCCAGCTAGCGGGCTCCCCGCGGAGCCTAACGGTGGACGTCTGTTTGATCTCGTGCATTCTGTTTATTTTCATTGAGGTAGGAATGATATCCCTTGTTCTGAGCCCAACAAATCAAGTAACCGTTATAGATAATGTCTGGCCACTACGTGTCGGCTGTCGGCCATGTCCGAAACGGGATCAAAATTCTCAAGGACGTCTACGAGGACCCTCATTCAGGAACTTATCACCACCCGTACTTAAAGCCATCGACAGTCACTAGCTTGGAAATGGACTACTTGCGGAAGACCCTCAACCGCCTCCAGGATCAGGCTCTGACCTTGGTACGTCAATCTCCATTCCGTATAGGGTAGATGACTGATACTAATGACATAGACGCGAACTGCCACGGACAAAGCTCTGAGGGATGATTCACACATAGCGGCAGGCCGTCATGCGGAAGTCCCCGAGTGCTTCCTTTCCATCTCAGATGCCTATGAGTGCTTTGAATATCATGTGGGCCGATTGTATCGGGAGTACTCAGTAATAGAGCCCAGCAAAGCAGATACGGGCTTGGAACAGTATACCAATTTAATGCAGCAAGCCCAAGCCCTCATGGACAAGTGGTCACTTGCCCTACATCGTTTCGAGGAATCTCGGGGTTCTCAGCTCACCTACAGGGACTCCATCGGTTTGAAGATCCTACGAATCTATCAGTGCTGGCGACTCGTATTGTTAGATCGGGGCAGGAACGGAGCTACGGATCTTCAGTCGTGGGATAAGTACAACTCCACGTTTCAACTAATTGTCTCGTTGGCAGCGGCAGTGATCAACACGGCCGACACTGACACGCCCCTATCCTTGACCTCTCCGGCGCCGTCCCACACTCTCAGCCAAGGTCATAAGAGGCCTTCCTTTTCTCTGGATATGGGCATTATATGCCCCCTATACGACGTGGCTACACTATGTCGTGACCCTTCAATCCGCCGGCAGGCGTCGAGGTGCTTCGGTCCGCCTCTCGCCAGGAAGGTCTGCTAAATAGTCACTTGTGCGCTATCATCGCAGAACAAGTGATCGATCTGGAAGAGAAGGCCGCTTTACAGGGCGGAATAGATGATGAAAAGAGTCTATTGTCTGTCAAGTTGCATCCGATGGGTCCGAACCCAAATAGTCAATCCGAGGTTTCCAGCCGCCACCACATCACGAGATCGTCTGAGGTGCCTCATGCGGCGCGTTTCGTCTATGCCTATCCCAATTTTGACCCTCTCCATAAACAAGCCTTTCTGGTTTTGGCGGTGGATGAGGATGGGGAGAGAAATACCAAGATCCCCTTACCATCAGTGACTGCTATGCTGGATATGGATTAGAGATCTGCTATGAATGTTCACTTATATTGATCGGCTGTTAAACTTTCTTGTTATGGTGTTCTGGATACTCACGACGGTACTTATGAAATGGGCAAAGACGATATACGGAGATACACGACTGCACGTTTTGAAATCGCGAGGGAAGGTCATCTACTTTCATGTTGCTTCCATAGATGTGCTATTGTCATAGCAATTGAAACTTCAAGGTGTTACAACCCTCCGTACCAAACTGAGTCTGACATAGTGAAAAGGCAAATTTTCGTATTCCTCACATGGCGTTTACTTTGGACGTGATCGCCATCCTCAGCGGCGTCATTAACACATTTATCTCTAACCAGTGTACTCTAAAATTACGAATAACATTCCACTGTGTCCATGACACTTTGTAGACTTAAGCCCCAAACAACGCTCGTGGGACTTACGAGGTGCCCTCAAGATACCGCCATTGTAAAAAAAAATACCATGCCTTTTACCCAGTTCAGGTTCAGGGTTACGTATTTCCATCACTATTAATACGAAGAGAAACTGTAGAAGTGTCCTGAGGAGCCCGAGCACTAGGGGGCAGGCTTAGGGCTTGTATCGATTTGCACTTACCTCGTTCTGGTAAGCAGCACGTCCAGTTCAAGTCTTACGAAGTATGACTACTTGAATGGTCATTCGTACAAGGTAAGTATATGTTGGAAATATCAGTCGAACCTCTGGAACTCTTTGTGGGGGTTATCTGGTCAGTGTAACGAGTCTTTGCCCAGTGCCCTAGCCCCGTTTGACCAACAAAGTTAAAAAGGCAAACATAGAATAGAATAAGGAGAGGAAATAGCTCATACGCAGTATAGTATCCATATTAAATAGCTCATGGCGACATGGAGGTTTACAATCCACCATTATCTATAAAGCGAAACGGAGTGTCATCCAAGTAGTCTTCCTATTGCTTCCTACCGTTTGCTTTTGACTTGAACATCACTGCAAACCCTTGCTTTTATCGGCGGAAATGCGACAGACCTTTGCTATACTTGCTCTTTTCCTAGCAGGATTTGCTGCTTGTCAAGGCGCAGCTGGGTCCTCAAAGGGAGACATGCCGGGAAGCTATCCAGAAAGCCCCCCAGGAAGCCCTAAGACAGGTCCCAAAGCCGACGTCGACAGATCCCAACCCCTACTTTCTCGGAAGGCATTACTGGAAAAGAGATGTCGTGAGATTAGGGTGCGTGAACTGTCTCGTTACGATGACGCAGGGAGTGTGTATGTCTATCTGGACGTTATCTGCACTGATGACCCGAAAAATGATCCGGACCATTCCAAGGATTCTTCAGGCAAGAACCAAGATGAGCCGAAAGAGCAGAGCTCGAGCGTCAATCTGGACTGGTTCCTTGGCTGGGATAAGTCGAAAGGAGGGCCTCTCAGAGGGAATGAGTATGTACATCTCTCAGGTATAGCAATAATTCTTGCTTATTGACGTATGGTACTAGTCGGTATGGTCCCTTATCTGCACTCTGCTGGGGTTGCAAATACACGCGAGGTACCAAAGAGGGCGAGAATAATTTTTCATGTTGGTGTAAGGATAGCAAGCCTGGCAGTGGTATAAGGGCACAGGATCCAGTCACAAAGAAATGGGGTCATAGGACCCAATACAACCTGGGTGAGTTCCCTGCATTATGGATTATAAGACTACGTTTAACAAAAGGTTCTATAGGTGACGTGTTGGAAGTCCTCCCAAATGGCCGCATCGGGTTCGATACCCGGGACTTCCGTGCAAGGGAGGCAAGGGAGTAGCATGGTCACGGCGTCAAATAACTGCAATTGACATGGAAGAACATAGCATGCTACATCTTTCGAAAATGTCCAATTGGTCACTCACAGGGTAGCACGAAGGAACAACCAATAAGTGGGCAAAGAATTTCCCATTTTATGTCTTCTGGAAAAGCTCCATAAGCTCATCTTTACCATATGCCCCAGCAAAACCCTGTGAATTATCAGTCTCCAATTCTGAAACAGCTGAAGGGTAGTTATGAAGCAGCCTACCCACAGGGCTTTGCTGCTTGTAATACTCTTGCAACGGTTCCAAGGCCAATCCTATCAGGTAGTTGATCGATTCCACCAATCCTTCAATTCTGTCATAGAACACAGAGCTCAAAAGATTATCCGAACGTAAAAGCGGTCCTATAACCTGCACCAAGCTCTCATCATGGTTATGTACTAGGGACGAATTGCCCCGGCTCTGACGGAGTCCTACAAAGACGCTTACCAAGCCTAAAATGGAATCCATACAACAAAAATGACATTTTCTATAGACTTCAGACTACCAGCTGAAAGACTCTTCTATTAGTTTTAGCTTCACCGCTGGATTCTCCCTCATCAGTTGTGTTACAACAAGTCGTACCTCGTCCGCCATCCTTGGTGGACCACTGACAATCACGGCGACCTCCGTTCCTGCACACCTCGAGACTTCCTCCCGGAGAATACGAGGGATATCCATACGACTATCCTGGAAAACCACAGGATTCAACCGATCAAATCTATCTGCACCAAGCGACGCTGCCACGGAATTGATCAAGGGCTTACTGCGTACTGCCCAGAATAACTTATGCCAGCCCTCGTGACGCATCAATATGGGCGCCAACGCTGTTACACCAACACCGCCCGCGATCGCAATAATATTCGTCATATCCGAGGCATTGGACCTTGAAAGGGCCACTGGACGGTATGAAGATTCGATAAGAACTGAGAATCTCGATCTCGGGCCGCGGAGATACTTGGTGATGCCCGACTGGGTTCGAATATAAAATACCAACCCTCGTTGACAAGGCGAATTGGATGACTTGGCCAGAGATATCTTGTCTAGACTTCCTGCTTTCTCAGTCAAGTCAACAGGAAGTATGTCCTTATCGACCGTGATTGTTGTACTCGATGGCTCCGTATCGCTCTCACAGCAGACATCTGTCATGACCGAGAAGGGGTGATTCTCCCAGACTCGCCACGTCAAGGTCGGGAAGTAAAGATACACATCACCCTCGGCCGCGACACCCGGAATCTCCAGCTTGATATAATCATCGTCCACGATGGAAACGTGAGCAGTGCGGATCCCATGTCTAGCAAACCGCAGAATGCGCATCCCCCGCTCATACCCCCAGATCGCCAACGCCATGTATATCCAATTCTCATATCCCCATTGAAAGCTATATCGGTAGAAAATATGTAGGCAACACCCGACCATCGCTAACAGGAAGAATACCACGTGCCAGGCAAGGAAGAACTCATAAAAACGTTTGCGTACTTGCAACATTGACGCTGGGACGATGAGGACCATCGCCAGCGTGGCGACAACACCCCAGTACCAGTATGCTCGCTTGCTTTCGCTGGAGTGCTCGCCTTGTGCGCTGTATATTTGCAAGTAAATGGCAGAGTGGAGGCATGCTTCGATAACGCAAATCACAGCAATCCAGCGGTGGAGTAGCAAGAAGGTTGAGTGGGACCAGTTAGTTACCCAGAGCAAGATATTGTTGCGACTGGAATAGAGAACCAGCAGTGGGATGTTTGCAAAGCTTAGGATCCCAGCGCGGTTACTAACGTATGTGACGATCTCGCGACGGTTGGAAGAGTACCACGCACTGGGGTCAGCTGAGCTGAAGCCTACCGCACATAAAACCACGTTGATTATTATTAGATAGGCGATAAACAGCGCTTGTCCTCTCGTGGGCATGTTGAACGTGTTGAATAAGGGAACTTTGTGTCGGTGGCCAATGAGCGGAGGGGCGATCACGTATGCCTCGAAACTCGTCTTCAGTCTGGTGGGAAGGGGAATAAAGCGTGCAAATGAGAGCCCAATCGGTATAATTGCTCCAGTCAAGAGAAGGACCAGTCTGCACGGATTCAAAATATTCACTTAGCAGGTTACTTTTGTCTATCTGGACTCTGAACTCACCCGTATTTCTCATGGGTTGCTTCTGCTTTCTCAAAGACCGCCAACGTGCGCCAATTGAGATCGTACAGTTCCTCAGACACAAGTGACGCTGACTCCAACACCGTAGATCCATTGGACGTGATATTCGGCCTGGAACCGATACTGTCCAGTGCCTGTTGGTAAGCCTGTTTGGGCAGTGGCTGGTCCTTTTCACTGCCAGCAACATTCATCTCCCAGTATCTTTGCAGTGTAGAGTTAGGTATCATCTGACAGTGAGAGTATAGGCAATAGGCCAGGGCCTGCAAGAAGGCATCGTTCGTCGCATAACATTCTGGCTCAGGAGACTTCTCGACGTTCCATGTAACGCGCAAACTATCATTTGAGCTCGTCGAGCAGTTCAAAGGGTTTGTGATGGATGAGCGGCAGGCATGGGCACACGGAGGTTTGTACATGGATATCCCATACCCAACAAATCCATTTGCTGAATATACTGGGCAAACAAGCGTCAGCAACAGAATGCTAGACGCAAGAGAATAGATATGACCGAGCATCCTGTCGATACGATCTGTCTATACCCTTCCCTTCTTTCCAGGTCCATTATCTATCCAGAGACCTCTGCAGGTAAAGGGTAAGACTCTATATATCATATCTTGTGGTGGATATACTCTACACATATTTGAGCAGGATATTTGCTAATTTCCTTAACACGATACTTTTCTTGGCAGAGATAGTGAGGTCTTCAGTTTTCATGGCCGAGCATTACAGGTACTCCTTTCTAAACGGTATGATTGGCCTCTTTACCACTTGTTCGAACAGAAAGCCCGGGTATGTGGACCGTTATATGTTGGCAGAAACGACAAATTGTCGTTGAGTTGAAATGAGCACATTTTCACCCAACTCGAAGTGGGGTCAACAAGTTAGCGGGTTCACAAATTTGCGGGATCTTACTCAATTAATTGCTCATAGGTTTGCCTCGACCACTTCTGCAACAGCGACTCGGACAATTTATGCGATTCTGTTTGGTCCCACGATCCGAACATGGCACTAATTGTGCTTCCTCGTTACCCAAAATTCCGATACTGCTAGCACAGGCTGGGGTAAAACCGGCATCGATCTCTGGCTAGACTGCACATTATGATCTGTCTTCCTATATACACAACAGCCCCTCCTGAAGCCACCGTTTTGGCCCAAGTTGTCAGTCCAAGTGAGGTTGTTTCTAGAATTCATTTAATAGTTTCTGGCTTTTCTCGTCCCCCTGTTGATTTCCCGTTGGAAACGCGGTATTTTGAAACGCAGTGCCGTTTCTTCAGGGACCACACCTCAGTTTGAGCCTGCAACCCTATCTACCATGTCACATTATAGCCATCGTTGTACGAAGGCCGTTTGTTTTTGGCTATCATGCTTGCTCTAACGAAGCCTGAATACCGCTGATCTAGCATGCATCGTTCGCTGAATGGCTAAGTAGGATCTTCTGGTCCTATCGCTCTGGAATTATCCTGGCTTTCTGAAACCCGCCAAGGCTTGGATGTCAAGTTCCGTATGTCTAAGGCGTTAAAGCATTGGCGAATTCCCACCGCAACCGCTTATTTTACGATTCGGCAATCGTAGATGTCTTCTGTAGTGATATTCAGTCTCCGGCTCCACAAGGCCGGCCATGGCCAATGCCGAGCACACATAAAGGCCCTTATTTGCAGAGCGGAGCTTTGCAATTATGTTTCTCCCTCCTTCATTCAGCTAGCTTGCAGATCACATGCTATCATTTTTCAGACTCCAAGCCCTAACATAGCCAAATTAAATTGGCAGTATTGAACCGGGTCTACAGCTACATTGGCGAATAGCTTTCCGGGCTTGGTGCTTGCAACACAATGCCGCAGTGGTACTGGATAGAGCGTTTGACCACTACTGTTAGGAGTGTGCTGTACTGGTGGGGTGATATATATTTCTGAACTGGAGCCCTCCAAACATTTGTGCGGTCTTGGCATGTTTATACCTGCCGGCGTTGTGGAGGGGAGGTCCAAGATTAGCTCAGGACAAGTGACAAGCCATATAAGAATACGGCTACCATTATACAGTTCACTTTGCCGATATAATTGCTAGCGCTCTGACCAGGATCTTGTGAATGTTACCTATAACAACGCCTATTATGAGACATCCCAACTCACGTGACGCTGCTCTCGGGTTGGACAACAAGGCAACCACAACAATCGAGCTGACAGACGGCCATTGTGAGACACACACTCTCCCTGAATTAGTTTGTACAGACCCAACACCTGCTATTTGAGTGATTTTAGTGTCCTGACTCTCTCGCAGAAAAGCCTTTCATTTTATTTTGGATCAGCCAAGAGCCAAGACTTCAGCGGACGTGGTTGGTCAATTAAACCTCTCACGTCATCATTGAATCAATTGATCTTCGTTCGTCTGTCGATCTATCTTGAAGCCAGAGCTCTTGTCCGCTATAAAACTGCCATATATCGTCCAATGGCGCAATAGCTTCTTGACATAAATTCATCGGATGCGGGCTAGAAGAGGAACGTGACACGTGTGATTGGCTTCCTGTGTTGACTGGGATAAACATCACCTCCCACGTGGGTCAAGGGCGAAATCTCGTATCGCACCGACACGCTCAATTCAAGTTTGGGAACTCCCCCCCTCATTGGGAGTATGGGCGCATTCATGAGCGGCTTGAGTGGTGGCGTTTTTCAACCGACACCCTCAGGTAAGAATCTCACTCTTCTGCGGCATCTTTTGGACAGAGGCTGATACATGCATAGTTATCCGTGCCAATCACTTCACTCCTTTCCAATTTTGCCAATTGGGCGATATCCAGCTTGGTTTCGGCCAGGATGGTTGGAAGAACGACGTGCACCGAATGCAACTCGCCGCGGAGCAAGTCAACGCGGAGGACTTCGACTTCTGCATTGCCGTCGGTGACCTAACCAACAGCCGGTCAGTACAGTAGACGACCACTCTTGTCTCCCAAGACGCGAACACTCACCGAGACAGATATTCCCATGAAATAACCGCATTCCAGCAAACATACCCCAATTTCACGGTGCCTGTGCACCTACTCCCCGGAAACCACGACGTGCACAACGTCTCCACGCTGAAACAGTTCACCCACGATTTCAACACGAGCGACCACAGCAGCTTCGCGCACAATGGGTATCGGTTTATCCTCCTCAACTCAATCACCATGATTACCGACTTGGCCGAATTCAAAAACCACACGGCCTATGAATGGAGATGGTTCGAGCGCGAGCTCAAAGCCGCTGCACGCGCAGGCGAAAGGATCGTCGTCGCCCATCACCATCTCCCATTTGAGCATCGCGAGGATGAGCCGGACTCGTATTGGACTTTTCCAAAGCGCGTGCGTCGCAAGTATCTAGAGCTGATTCGGAGATATGCTGTGCGTCATATTCTTGTCGGACACCGGCATGAGACGAAGAATATTTATCCTGCTGATGACTTCTATACGATATATGTCGTTGCGGGGACGGCGCGCTTCTTCGATGGGAATGGGTTCGGAATTAACTATTTTAACGTCTCGTCACGCGATTCGGCGAACGATGTTGCGCAGAAGTTTGTGCATCTAAAGGGTGTGACGCACATGAAGAGGTCCGAGGGCCAGCCGACTGGGTGTCCGGATATCTTTCGACATGATCAATGATTTACGGTCTGGGTTAGATTGGCGGGGTGTGCTCATTATGGTATCCTTTCATGACATGTTGAATGATAGAAATTCGAGTAATCTCGAAGATAGATTGTGAGCTATTCTCTGGGAAACGATAGCTAGGATATATAAAGTAATGCCAAAATGAACTGGTTATAATGGTCTGGTCGTCTATCTATACACAATAATTGGTACAGCTTAAATTGAATATCATCCTGAGCCAAAAGGTGAGAAGAACGGGAAAATGATATGCTCTCGTAATTCCTGCTGGTATCGACTAGTTATGTTTGATCCAGGCCCTGGCAACAGACTGTTTTATATTGAACTACAGCATCGCCTAACATGCTAATAAACGGCCAAGGAGAGTCGCCCTGCATGATATGACACCAAACCTCGATAGTGCAGTTGACTAAATCCTGTGGCCGACTTGAGGAAATGTCCGAGTCGACACTGTTGATAGATATAGAGCCGTCGTGGACGATATCTCGAGTCCATTGAAGGAGCATACGTTCGTGGTCTGCCATGATTAGTTAGATTTCCCGTACCGCGGCCAGATCACAGGGAACGAAACGACAAGAGAAGTATGGACTCAAACGCAACGTAGGAGAAATGAAGACGAACCTGTTAATAACTTAGGATTCGTGTCTGTATTAAACGCTCGAAGCCACTTGTCAAGGAAAACAGAACATTCCAACCCGCATATTGCAGCCTCAATGCTCCATAACGATGCCCTATTGTGTTTGATGTATTGTATACCAAGCCTGACCAAGATACCCATGAAATGAGTCGCATGATGCGCCGCCAACAGCTCATCCCACTCGTGGTTCGCAGATGGCGACGCACGAAGAGCACGGGCGATAGAAGCAACATTCCACGAGAATATCTCCCGAGACTGACAGTTAGAGAATTGAGAACAGTTCCGAATGTAAGCAAAGCTGAGCCAAGCGCTTGACATGAAGGGCAATGGCCCGTTGGGGTCGAATGGCTCCAGATTGGATTCTGGAGTCCGTTGCCAGTATATTGTCCATTTGCGCAAGGCGTTACTTGGTAAACATCAGCCATCGAACCTTTCCACATACGGCTTAAAGGGGGATTCAGAGTTTCGGACTCACCGGAAGAGCACTCGGCTGTCTGAAGTTGGATCAGCCCCTAGATCTTTGGGGAAGATCTGGACCCACACAATGCTTTGTATGAGACCATGCAGCAATGTATAATTAGCAACGGGCGTCGGGTTGAGCTCCTTGATATCACAGGGAGAAGGGGATAGCAGATCCTTTAAAGCTGTGTGGAAGTGATTTTGTGTAATCGGCGTATTTTGTCTTAGCAAAGCCCAAGTTCCTGCGTCCGGTGCCGTCCATTCAGGACAGGAGCAAGGCAGGTGCAGCTTGAGTTCATGACTCCAGATGACTGGTGAAAGATTATACGCGATACTCTGGACGTTGAGAAAACAGAATGCAAACAGCTTTGCACGTCTTTCGGATTCTAGGCGAGCCCAGTTTTCCCAATGAATATCGAGTACTTCCGATGGTTCTTCAAGTCCACTTAGTCTCAAGGCATGAGCGAGCTGGCCACGTAACACAAGTGATTCGTTTCTGAGATTCAAGTCCTTATCCCATGTCGCAATACTCATGAGACAGAGCAGGCACCGGACCTCGTCCATATAATCTCGTTCTACGAAATCATCGCTCGTTCTGTGGTTCATTAGCCGTTCAAGCATACCACGTTCCCTTTGGTGCTGGCGCTCCAGTAGTATTGCCTTCGAGACATAGAACATATTAATCGCGGAATGATATTCAAAGCGATTAGCTGCTCCAATGGCAAACATTGCTAAAAGAAGTTCCGGTGAGCATGCGTCAAACCTGAAAGTTGGCGCATGGGTGAAGGGTGCATATGGATAGAACCCCGTGAAATATCCGGCTAAGAATCTGGTTAAAGAGTCACTGGATGGAAGCTTCCATCCAGGTAGTCCAAAGCCGTTTATTGACTGCTGTAATGAGCTCCTCTGGTGTTCGGCAACTATAGGATGGGTAAAGTGCGGAACAATTTGGGCTTCTATTTCACATCGATTATTGGCTAGCTTTACATAGTTTATGGGGGCGTACTGACCTAAGGCTATCTGCGGAGCAGGAAATATCGTTGGGACTTCGTTAATCAATTGTGTAGTTTGATGCGCACTAGATCCCTGTGTAAAGTTACGAGCGTTGGGTCGGCCAGGGTTGTCTACATGAGTCGAAGTGGCGAACTGTGACCTCGGTTCAGCAATAATACCATCCAGGGCGGGATCTAGTATAAGTATCAGCTTGATACCTTAGTAAGTCTGATAACATATATGTGATTTACCGTTCATTTGGAGCATTTCTGTAAGGGCTTCGAAACGGCTAGATAGCGGAGTAGGCTCAGCCCTCCACGGTGTTAGGCTAGTTGCATACATAACACACCTGTGAGAATACAAACAGACTGCATCTTACCTGGCTGGTTGCCCATCAAGGGAAGGGCCGCCATGATCTCTCAATGGGAGGCTGTTTGTATGGTTACCGACCGATGCATGAGCTGCTGCATCTCTCAAGCGCTGCTGAGCTACGCCGGGGCTCTGCGGCTGTTCGATAATATTATATACGGAAGTTGACTGCTGAGGAGAATCACTGGAGCTGCCATGCACAATGCGCTCATGGCGTTTCAAGAGATCTTGTCTTGAGAAACAAGCGCCACATGGACAGCTAAAGGGCTTTTCATGGGTATCTTGGCTGAAGGTTGGTATCAAAAATTCTCCACATAGTACATGAATATACTAACGTCTCCTTGTGTGCCTTTGTAAGTGTTCCAGTTTGCGGAATTTCCGATTACAATAAGCGCATTGAAAGTCTCTTTCCTTGGTCTTGGATCCAGGAGTCGCTGACGCCATTGTTAAACATTCTTCGCCGGTCGCCTAGAACAACCAGTTTTGCAATAATACACTAGCGACACGAACTATCATAGGCCTTGTTATGGCTCAGATCAACTGAATAGACGTATTGAGCAACTTGGCCGTTGAGGAAAACGCCTGCGACGGACTCGGAGAAGGACGATGCGCGTTCCCATGGTTGGTTGGATGCCTCAGGCAGCCTATTACTGCAGCCTTGGCATGTTTGGCTTGGTAATCGTTAGAACCCTCTATACTGACTGCTGTAGTGCTGCTAGTAGCCTGCTAGTAGTACATGCAGAGGCCCTGTATTTGCCCTTCAATAGTACATGAGTGTCGTTGTTAACTAGTAGGGAATTGCATTGAACGACCTAGATCCTAGCCCAAGGAGCAATATTACCATAGGAATAATTCGTCTGTCTATTACAACTTCGGATCTACTTCATACTGATATAGTGCCACTGAGGAATGCAGGGATGACCGAAGATTACACTTCTAGATATAATGAGCGTTACCATGGAGGGGCCTTAGTTTCCTGTTCAATTGATACTGTCTCCAAAACTCAATCCCCAAATCTCCATCTCCAAATCCCCACACAGTCTAAGTTCTTTGCCGAGCTCCACTATCTATCGCTTTTGCATGTATGCCGTTCCACAATGTACCATTAGTAATGTGTATCGCTGTACTCTTCAAGGGAACCCTAACTATCTACTAGGAAACTTCTAAGAAAGAGATTCAAGAGTGGGTGGGAAATATCGTGGACTCTGTTCCTTCAGCACGCCACCAACCATGGGTCTTTTGGAGAAATCGACTTTGACCCGATTATCAAGCAAGCGCTTATAGATCACTTGCTAGCCACAGGGAACATATAAATAGTGTCAAGATACCCCGAGAAAGTGTCTTTTCGAATTCATCTACAATCATATCAAGCTTCATTAAATCGATCTTCAACCGCCGCTCTTCACAATGTCCCAGAAGGTTATCCGCCTCAATGGTCCACGGACATCGGTTCGCAATCTCAAGGCTTTCCAAGAGCCAATCCCTGAGCCATCCAAGCACGAAGTTCTGATCAAGGTGCATGCGGTTTCTTTAAACTTCCGTGATGTTGCTGTTGCGACTTCCCTATACCCGTTCCCTGTCAAGGATAATGTGATCCCCTGCTCTGATGCTGCTGGTGTTGTTGTCAAAGTTGGAGAAGGGGTGAACAATATTGCTGTTGATGATCATGTCATCGGCACTTTTGACATCTCCAATCTCTTTGGGCAACAGATGAACTGGCTAAATGGTCAGGGTGCTCCTATTGACGGTGTTCTCCGAGAGTATGTCTGCATTCCAGCCGCATCTGCTGTGCAAATCCCCAAGGAATCTCCCTTGAGCTTCTGTGAGTGGTCGACCTTAGTTTGTACTGGTGTGACTGCCTGGAATGCTCTGTACGGGAACATCCCATTGAAGCCAGGCCAGACTGTTCTCTTCCAAGGTAAGACAGAATAAAACAAGCAAATACAATCTGTGTACCAAGTGCTCCGATGCTGATCTTATACAGGAACCGGTGGAGTCTCTATCACCGGCTTGATCCTTGCGAAAGCCGCCGGCGCAACGACAATCATCACTTCCTCCAGTGATGAGAAGCTTGCCTTTGTGAAAGAGAAATATGGCGTCGACTATACGATCAATTACAAGAAACACCCCGAATGGTCCAAGGAAGCTCTCCGCTTCACTAATGGTGAGGGTGTCGATTACATATTTGAGAACGGAGGCTCAGGTACAATTGGTGAGAGTCTGAATGCTGTTAAGATGGGAGGCAATATCTCAGTCATCGGATTCCTCTCTCAAGCTGAACAGTCCAAGATGCCTGATGTCGCATCTTTGGCTCTTGCGAAGGGTGCCGTTGTTCGTGGTATTGTTGTTGGCTCAACTCAACTTCTCCAAGAGGTTACTCGCTTTGTTGCCCGCAAGGGACTGCGGCTACCTGTTGACAAGGTCTTCGAGTTCACTGAGGAATCCATTATCGAAGCCTACGAATATATGGCATCCGGCTCTCAGATTGGGAAGGTCTGTATCAAGGTGGCTGAATAGTCGCACAAGCTATGTTTCTAACGGCGTGACTGAGAATTTTTCCTTTATTTTGCCTCATAAGGTCAATTGAGAAATGTCCCCACTAGTCCAATACGACGGAATCATTGCCAGTTGAACCGCTAGAGAATTAGTAAATAAAGGATATTTTCCCTTGTCCTGTGCTATCGGAGCTTAATAGCTTAACACCGTCCGCAAATATTTTCCCTTGAGCAGTGTGGCTATTGCTTTTGATCCCAAGGAAATGGGACTTGTTCTCAAAATCCTTCGAAGAGGCTTGCTAAACAATCCCCAAATTTGGAGACGGGTCCACTTTCGGGGATCAGGGTTAACCCCACCACGTCATTTCAACTAGACCACGGCCTTGTATACGTAGTGTGAGGGTAGTAAGAAGGGATGAAAAGTTATTATAACTTATGAGATAAGGCGAGGTCCTTTTTTGATCCAAAATAGGTCATCACATATTCCCAAGTAGGCCTAGCACCTACAGGCCCTTTGTCAAATAGCTGCCTAGGACGTAGGTAAAATCTCCGACACAGTAACATTGATGCTGGAAAAGCCAGACATCTGGATACAACACCAACAGTATGACTGATCGCCATCATCTTTCACGGCTCTTGAAGCCCAAAGAGCTTAACCTTGCAATCGAGACTTTTAACAAGATCATCGTGCACTTCGATGCTTCGCAGACAAATGACAGCGGCTATAAACCAGCCACTCTTATCGATCTCATGAGAAATGAAGTTTTTGAAAAGGATGACTTTTTGGGCCTATTTTTCGCTTATATTCAGCAAGGCCTGCTTGACGAGAGTAGAGGAACCGATCTTGACCCCATCTTGTCGCATCTTGCTGGATTTTGTATTTAGTCGGCGGAAGAGAAAGATAAGTTAAGTGGATGTCTTGGTGCATTCGCTCGGTACCTAGTAGACAACTTCTTCTTGCCATGTAAGTTTGCAGACTGTATTGAATACAAGACACTTACTCTCTTTAGTGAACGCGTTTGTAGTCAAAACACCCCAACCTACACCGGCTCCTTCCCACCGTAGAACTGCTATTGGCACCCTACAACGCGTGTCAACTTTGCGACGCGATTGCCTTCACCGTGATCGCCATCGATGTGTCATTACTCGGAAGTTCGATGCTCAGGAAGCCAAGAGTCGGTACAGGAAAGATAGATGAAATTTGAAAGATGATGAGGGGAAATCACTACTTCCTGAACGCGATACAATGGCGTATCTGGAAGTAGCGCACATTATCCCTCATCCTCGAAGGTCACTCATTGGTAAGGAAGGTGAACGGAAACCTGTAAGAGATCATGATAACAAATATTTCATCGCTAGCTGACAATACCCAGACAGATTCAAATCAATCGTTCCATAGAATCTTAAAGCTGTTCAACCCCAGCGCTATCCACCTAATAAATCGCGCTGATATGGATCGACCGATGAACGCACTTACCCGAACTCGTGACCTTCACACGGAATTTGGTAGATTCGAGATTGTATCTGAGCTTGTTTGCCCGCAGTCTCACACCTACAAAATTGATTACGTGAACGCCCATGGCCTAGTGAGAAAACGGAAGCTCAGGCAAAGAGAGATTGAGAGGGAAAGAACCAGATTAAAGATGTATATAATCTTTCCGATCGTTTCGAGGCCGGTGAACTGGTGGGTTGTATTATGAACCAAACCGCAATACCACCCGTAGCCATGGACATTGAGTACCAGCCACAAGTGACCTGGCATAGTCGCTCTTTGAGGGACACCTTTCGACTTCTTTGATATTTAGGGTTCATTCTAGAATGGGGTTCCACACACGTGCTAAGCAAAAGGAGCGAGAACTCCTCCTTTATAAGGAAAGAGCCCAGGCACACACATTCCGAAAGCTTTCTATGCCCTTATATAACGTTTTCTGGCTTCTTTGATGTGGTTCCACCGTATCTCATATCAGGCTCTGGCCTTGTCTTGAATGCAGTTTGATCCACTCGGGACACACACGGCCATTCCCGAGTCCTCAATATCGGGCCGACCCACGGTTGATGATGTCTTCTCGAAGCTGTCCGCTATTCAATGTCTTATTAGCTATTCAAGAAAACGGCTACTTTATATACGGCGTACTCTCTCATCAAGACAGGAGTCGGTAGTATTTATCAGATGCTGAAAGGGCATCACTTGTTGCCGTTGGACTTGCATGATGCAAGCATATCGTACGATAAGGGCTGGATAAGAGCCCGGACCCATTATTGCTTTCGCCCACGCGCGCAAGCAGGAAAAGGTCACCTTTAATAACAGAATGCTGCTTGTATACAATCTGCACCTGGGACTGGTACAGTGGGGTATGTATATGGCTCAGGAACTTATTAAGCTAGCTCTGATATCCTAGTCTACTCATATGATATGTAACATAATATACCGGTTATCTACGCTTGTAGGTATGTCGATCATCAGCGTATTTGATGAGAGAAGAGACATTCCTTTGTTCTGTGTAGTATAGACGGGTCCTTGGAGTTGGTCAGATAGTTATAATAGAAATATATGAAGGACTCAAATAGGGGAAAATAGTGTATCCAGCATACAACCCCATTTCAACACTTTCCAGATGGTACCAGGATAACTCAAAGCTTTGTCGTTACCACCAGACATGTTGCTCTGATGCACAATCTTCAATACGGAGACTTTTATCGGGCTCTGTTCACCCCAGTAGGCAAGTGGGCCAAGGTAACCCTCTCTGGATAAAGTTTACCATCTAAATGGTGGTGAGATTACTGTTTCCGTGACGGGCCTGGTGCGTGAGGGCGGCTCCAGACGCCTGTTGGTCAACGTTACAGCCCAAAATGTATAGCACCGATAGGAGACTTCGATTCCCTGGTCAATAGTATTGATTCTTACGTACTCAATGACATATTCGAATGTTGTCCCTTGATGACAAAACTGGGTCATTGATATGCTCTAGGTTAGGCTTCCAGGGTCTACATGTGTAGGAAAGCGTATATAATATCGTTATAACTTGCCCCACATTGAACAGAAATCTACCGTGACACTTGCTCTGCCTCCCACACTACATCCGTTCTTCCAATATTACTCCGATCATGTCTTCTACTGATCTGGCTATCCCCAAAGGCTCCCTCGTCGTCGTGACAGGAGCTAATGGTTATATCGCCAGCCACGTGGTTGATCAGCTACTGCAACACGGGTACGAGGTCCGGGGCACTGTGAGAAACGCCGAGAAAGACTCGTGGTTGAATGACTATTTCGGTACAAAGTCCAAACGATTCTCCCTCGCCGAAGTTCCCGATATATCCCACGATGGGGCGTTCGATGAGGTCGTCAAGGGTGCGGCCGGTATAGTCCACGTTGCAGCACCCGTAAGGCAATTTCACGACCCCAATATCGCCGTCCCTATGGCTGTCAATGGAACTATCAATATACTTGCTTCGGCCGCCGCCGAACCCTCGGTGCAACGGGTTGTTATCACCTCATCTTCGACAGCGGCCGCCAGTCCGCAACCAAACAAGATATTTAGTATAGATAAAACAACCTGGAATGAAGCAGCTGTTAAAGCTGCCTGGGCGCCACCTCTTTACAAAGGATTTCAGCGACTCCTAGATGTTTACTCCGCCAGTAAAACGCAAGCCGAACGGGCTGCGTGGAAGTTCATGGAGGACAAGCCACCCTTTGTCCTAAACACGGTACTCTCGAACGTCAATATGGGTACAATCCTGTCCCCAGAAAATCAGGGATATCGCAGCAGCAGCGGATGGATTAAGGCTGTATGGGATGGATTCCCAGGCGAAGGGGAGCTTCAGCACAACCCGCCACAGTATTATATTGATGTTCAGGACAATGCACGTGTGCACGTTGCTGCCCTTATCTATCCCGATGTACAGAATGAGCGCCTCTTCGCGTTTGCACACCCCTATACATGGAACGATATTCTAGCTGTCCTACGGCGACTTTATCCACAGCGGAAATTTGTCAAAGATATTCCTAATATAGGCGAAGATATGAGTAAGGTCGCAAATCAGAGGGCTGAGGAACTCTTAAAGAGAATTTCAGGTCTTCCTGGTTGGACAAGCTTAGAGCAGTCGATCCAAAATGCTACTAAGGCTTGGGTATAGACAACAATATATGAAGCCTAAGATGTATACCACTGCATGGGCATAATCTCTGTTCTTCTTTCGGTGCAGCTGCAGGATGAGAAATATTCCTGGCCATCGTAGAAAGGATTGTGTATGTTTGTTTCGTCAATTTCAAGGAAAATATCCTTATGGCTCAGGGATGACGGTCTGTGGTACTCTTATTGAAATGTTTGTACGACAAGTCGTATTAACCTATCTTTCTATTGGTAGAGTGAACTGTGGAGTGTTGGCAATTCTTAGAGCAATTAGCATGTAGGGGTTCTATAAGTTTATCATATATTAACTACGGAACGGAGAAAGTGTAAGGTCGCGATCTGGAGCATTTAACGCGTACACATAAGGAGCCGAAGACACGAGATAATCAGGACTCCGTGTTTAAGAATACCACACAGTATGGAAAGAATCAACGAGCTACAATCCTTTAATTTGTCTGAAGAGAATGAACGAGAGATTGTCTTTCTCGAGTCATCTTTCTTTAGGTCACCCAATCGACACCTTCCAACACCAGCGCAAGTGAAGGCTTCATCTGGGGATGCGTCCACAAGCTCTCAACCACGGCCTGTCACATTTGAAAATCTTGGACTTATCGTCAAATTCGGTCCTTATGTTACAGTTGCAGAAGCCCGATGTCTTCGGTTCATTAGGATGACCTTTCAAGAGAGGGTCCCCGTCCCGGAAGTTTTTGGATGGCGAATTGATGAAGAGAGCAATGTTTTTATCTACATGGAGCCTATAGAAGGGCAGACTTTACTGGATCGTTGGGATTGGCTGAGTACTCTGGATAGAAATGCACTTTGTGACCAACTACATCACATCATCGGTGGTCTACGTCAACTCGAACAAGAAGCTTCAGACAAGTATATTAGTATGTCGAAAAGCCAACTTGGGGTGCCAGGTACAGGATGGTTTAACAGGGCTTTCTCGAGGATCTCTTGGGCAGAAGCGACTTTTGGAATATGTCTTCCAAGAAGAGCGGGAAGCCGGGCCCTTCTCCAGCATCGAGGAATTTAATGACTGGTTTTCTTTCTTACCGCAGTCGCGTTTTCCTATGTTAAATAGGTACAAGGACCCTTATAGAGAGTTTCTGCCCGACACTGGGGAGATTAAATTTACTCATGCGGACCTTCATCGAGGCAACATAATCGTGTCTACTACCGGACCAGCGCGCATTCTTGCCATTGTGGATTGGGCACAAGCAGGGTGGTATCCGGATTATTGGGAATACTGCAAAGCCCGTTATACGTGCTGGTATGAGGATGAATGGGGCCTGGTCTGGATTGAGAAGTTTTTATTCCCACGAGTGCAAGAGTTTGAGATCTTTGCTGGATACACTATGGCTATGGGTGCCATTTGAAACCTGTATCGATCTTTGATTAAACAATAGGACAAGAGATATGAGAAAGCACATACAATTCCAACATACACCATGATGATTGAAACCCAAGTTCTTTCGGCGAGTTCCGAAACAACCATTTTCACCATCAGCTATTGCACAACAGATACGAATAGCTAGCGCTATTATTAGGGTTACCCGGTTACGGTCGGCTACTAGGATAAGCCTTTACTAGCTTGTTGGACGTTGACCTTCCTTTCCAACGCTTTTCCATTAGATCCACAATTATGTAGACCGTGTCTTGGCAGTTTGGGGTATAGAGAAGAGGAATGAACTCGGCTAATACTTCAAATTATCTACCGAACCAAAGACTCGAAATGTGACATTGGCTTAACATTTCACTGCAGTGAAACACCCGTCCACCCATCTGGATCTTGAAAGAACAAAAATGAGGCTTTTTACTCCGCTGTGTAGAGGTTGCCTCGCACATATTTCAGACCCGTGTCACAAGCAACGGTAACCACAACTTTTCCAGGCCCTAGTTGTTTTGCCAGCTCAATCCCGGCTACTACATTGAGGCCTGTAGAGGTCCCAGCCAAAATGCCCTCTTCCTTTGCCAGGCGCCGTGACATGGCACGGGCCTCCGATTCCTCAACTGCAAGGGCACTGTCGTATAGTTGTTTGTCCAAGATCGGTGGAAGGAATCCAATTCCAATACCTTCCACCGAGTGTAGGCCGCCGTGGCCTTTAGTGATAGCAGGCGCTGAAGCAGGTTCCAGGACAGTCACACTGCAGTGCGGTTGATTTTCTTTCAAGACTTTGGCCACGCCCATGACCATTCCTGCACCACCCACTGCACCGCAGAATGCATCAATGCCCTCCGGAATTTGCTCCAGAAGCTCACGACCTAGCCCTTCGTAACCGACAAGGACATCTGGATTGTTAAACTGGTCTGCGTAATAGTAATCTTCCCCCTGGGAGAGTTCCTTCGCCCGGTCACGCATAACCGGAATCAATTCAGGCGTGATCTTCCCGCTTGGGCTGTGGACGATATCTACCGTCGCTCCAAACGCGGACATCGTCTTCAACTTTTCCTCTGCGAACGCGTCGGATGATACAACAAGGAAACTGTACCCTTTGATTGCACACACAAAGGCAAGTGAAGACCCAGTACTGCTGCCGGTGGCTTCAACCACAGTCATCCCGGGTCTCAGATCACCTCGTCGTTCAGCTTCTTCGATCACAGAACGGGCCATGCGGTCTTTATAGGAGCCTGTGGGATTCAAGCCCTCCAGCTTGACAAAAACACGGGCGCAGCCATCTGGAACCACGTGGTGCAGCTCGACGCATGGTGTTTTCCCGACCGCGTCGAGTATATTGCGAGTAGAGGTGATGGTTGACATGGTCATTCGCAGGGAGGGCTCAACAAAAAGCGTCAAACGTTGATGTATAATATTTATACTTGGGAAGTTTGGCTACAGTACCAGCCAGGTTGACTGAAACTATTCCCCAAAATGCCAAGCCACGATCTTTCGCCTTATGGGTGGACTCCGCTTTCAGTTATGATAAAGACACAAACTGCAATTATACGTCGTTTCTTGGAGTATGGCCGGTTGTCTATTCTTTTACACGCAATCCGTACCCACAATAGTGCTACTGCATGTATCATAGAGGATCGTTCCGAAAATCTGCTGGTACATAATGTGGATCAGTGGCCCAATCCTAAATCTATAGAGGAGCATATGACCTTACCTGATACAAAGTTGGTACAGGGCACGTGGCAAAACTGCAAATTTTCTCTTCTGCTTGCCTATTTGATTCGCAAACTTGAGAACATTCGAGACCTATGGAAGAGCTCAAACCGTACCTATTTGCCCCAGAGACTTGGCCTTCGAGAATGCTTGGCAATATGGGGAATGACTGGCTCCCTTGCCTTCCATATTCTGGCTCATTAAAATGACAAATGCTTATTCCTACTGGCGATCTCCGACCTTGATCAGACTTGGTCACCGGAGATTGCACCTAGCTCCCCGGTTGAACTAAGCAAAGGCGATTAGTTAGGTAGCTATAGTTGACTATAAAGAAGTATGAGGGTTTACCACTCTATAGGAGGACGTAAAGGGATCTCGGGTGATGCGGATGGCTTTATTGTCATTTAATGTCATTTTAATCTCATTTATTGTGTTTTTTCTTTTTTTCAAACTCATCTGATATCAGGAAAATCTCTTGAAGAGTTTGCAAGCACAGTGGTTGACCGTGTAATCTCCCAAGAACAAGTGGAGGACGACATCGAAAGAGGCTGTGCTAATATAGAACAAATTGTTTGCGAGATCATTGGACAGGGTGCTGCGAAAGTCAACCGGACACTAATATTTGCAAGTACAGATATTCACCGGTTCACTTGATATAGCGGCCTCTTTGTGCCTTTTAGTAGTTAGACAACAGGCTATCAGTGCGCATTTCAAAACTGCAACGGAATATGATGGCATGGAAGAGAGTTCTATTGCGAAACATATGGTCAAGATATAATTCCAGCCCTCACATAAGCCAATTCGGCCAGGGCTGTTCAGCCTGTGGTGACATATCGGAAGTCTCCAGACATGCAATCCCACTCCCCTTAATCACAATGAGAGGGCAGGCTCAAAGGTGGATATTTTTCTTCACCAAAACTAATTAACACAGTTGAAAGTATTTAGAAGTCTATATTCTTATGACCTGAGCGCTTATATGCATGGTTAGCAAGATATAATATACGATACATTGAATCTATGGACTTCTAGCGATTTTCGACAGTATAAATCAGAAGCAGCCTTGATTCCCGGGACTAGGGCTTGAGGAGGCCCATTCTATCCTGAGACCTAAATCCAAGTATTGAGAACCTCCGAACTTGCGTTGATATTGGTCCTACGAGAACTTAGTGAAAAAAAAGCATTGCGTTCTCCAAAATGCCCAGCCTCGAGGCGATTTGATTGACCCCACTGCGGGCCCACCAAAAAGGCGCATCCATACACCATTCCCAAAGCGGTCCACGAGAACGACGCCCTATAGTTAACTATGTTGATCTCCGGCTGATAAAGACACGCCGGGGAGGTTTGGATTTCTCCGGCCGCTTTTGCTTGAAACATTTCCACAGTACTCCCATCCTTGAAGCTTTTAAGCACTGAAGTCTCCACTGACTCAAGTGCTTAATTTCTATGGCTCAATATGTCCTAATTGACCTTTCCAATCTGTTCTACTGGACTCGGGCTACTTTGGTATTAGGAATCATTGAACTGAGGATAGTACCATGACAACACCAGCAGACAATGAGCAGGCATGTAATGCTCCAGAGAAAGGTCTCCCGGAGAGCAATCCACAGACGCCCCGCGAGCCTTCCAACTTGTAAGTACTGAGGTATCCCCTATCTAGTTAATTTTTTCACTCGGGCCGAGCTTACACAGAGACAGGCGAAAGCTCCTCATTATCGTCGCTGCCTTTATGCTTAATTTCTCCGGCTGTGGGCTCCTCTTCAGCTTTGGTATATACCAATCTCTTTACGAGGATATGTCGCGAAAGGAGAATAATCCATTCGCCGGTGCTTCGTCGGCCGAGATTTCGTTGATCGGGAGTATAGCTGCAGCTTTCATGAAACTTGGTGCACCATATGTCGTGGCATGGTGCAAGTACTTCAGCCCCCAGCGAGTGGTCTTTGTGGGAGGGCTCATATACGGGGTTGCCAGTGTTCTTGCCAGTTTTGGTCAAGCCTTGTGGCATTTCCAACTCACTCAAGGACTGTTGGTCGGTATCGGTACCTGCCTTTCCTTTATGCCATCTATGGCAGTCCCACCAAGCTGGTTCGGACAATATCGCGGACTGAACATGGGCATTATTTCCGCTGGAACAGGTATCGGGGGTCTCGTGTGGTCTCCAATACTCACAGCATGTATTCAGAATCTTGGGTTCCGGAATACACTTCGTCTGACAGGCTGTATTTGCACCGTTCTGATTTGTGCATCGGGCGCTGTTCTGAGCTGGGAGCCCAAGATGGCTGCGAAGCTTCAGAAAGAGACCCTGGAACAGTCTTGGGTTTCTGGTCTTCTGAAGGTCCCTCTGCCTCCTCGGGAAATCGTTACAACGCGCAAGTTCGTCGCCCAGAGCCTCAATGCTGTTTTCCAAAGCGCGGCATACTATACGCCTATTTTCTACATTGCAGCCTATTCCAAAACCCTTGGGTACAGTGACTCGGAGGGTTCGAATTTCACCGCATTGAGCAATGCCTGCAATGCTATTGGGAAAGTCGGGGTTGGCTTCGTGGCAGACAAAATAGGACGACTGGACTCATTCTTTCTGACGACTCTTCTGAGCTCCGTGTCTACAGCAGGTTTATGGGTTCCAAGCACTGTTATCGGTACCGCGAACGAATCATCCGGAAGAGGTCTTTTTATTGGATTCACCATCCTTTACGGCCTCTTTGCGAGCGCATATATTGGCTTGTTCTCACCCGCCTTGGTTGAGTTCTTCGGAATGGAAAATATGCCGCGAATAACGGGGATTATGTACTTCCTGCAGGGGGCGGCAGGATTTGTTGGAACGCCAGTCGCCGGTGTCCTAGTGGGATCTCTAGGAGGAAATCTGGCACCAGAAAACTATGTATATATGGCGGTCTTTGTGGGGGCATTGATGGTTGCATCAACTGTAACCGTCTTCTGGGCTCGCATGGAAGTCATGGTAGAACGCATGCAGGGCGGGACACAATGGCTGTGGAAATTGTAATCACTATCAAAATGTACTAAGATCGAGTGTAAGAGGGGCAGTTCCCGTTGTCGTCCATCTGACATCTTTCTCGTCATAACATAGCCCTAGGTAATACTAACACTGAAGGTATTTTCCAGCGTCTGCAGTTTGGTAAGTACGTCCTTAACTCTCCAGCCAAGATAGTACTGGAATCCATGAGAACCTGATGCCTGGGCTCGATATTCACTGGCACCTGAGGTCTTTAATCTGAGCTTGGTTCTACAGGTTTCAATAGAAGCCCGGTGTTCTAGAAGGGCAACGAGGGTTGTATTGCTACGATGAGAGAAGGGAGAGTCTCGTACCAAATAAATGTCTGGAGACTCATAAACTGCGCTGTTGTTGTTCTTAACGCGAACGCGATTCCCCTATTTTTTACCACTCATCGGTGCGAAAACTTTCCGCAGGATCAAGCTATCCAGGGCTGATTTACCATCTAATTAGATTGCAGACGACATAACACCGGTTTACGTTGTAAAGACCACGTTTTCAAGAAGGCCTGATGCCAATTTTCGAGTTGGGCTGCAAGGGCTTCCGTGATTTAATTGCCATACCCTGGCGTTGAACCTCTGGGATGGTAAATTCATGGTGGTCAACAATAGGCTAAGATCGTCATGACCATCTTGTGTCAAGGAATATTCCTAGTGTCCTCAACATAAATTTAACTGTAGAATTTCCATAAGGATTCCCCTTAATTTATGAGAATAGGCCGGTAATAAATTTCACTACCGTTGTTTAATTGACAGGGGGAGATTAAATTCAAGCTAATAATCGGTGGTGGTGGCCGCGCCGGTGCGATGACACCATCGCGAGCATATCTGAAGCCATGCATTAGCAACCTCTCGGCCAACCACCGACTACCTATCACACCCTGTTACTGGAGATCATGTGGGATCATCTAAGTCTTTCAGGCTTGATGTGATTCAACCATGATAACTTTGCTGTCACGCAATTGCATGGCATTTCCTCTCATTGTGGGGAAAGCTAAAGAATATAAATGCGCAACAGATCAACGCGAACACATAAAACGGTACCCGAAGAGTATTTTGCACATCGACAGTGGCAAAATGGGACAATACGATGACACGATAACTTGGGGTAGGCAGAAACCGATCTCAGAGAAAGGAATACCTGCTCAGCTCCTTTCTCATAGTGCGCTCACGAAACGAAGACTCCGATAATGACCATCTCAAATCGCAAGACTCCTTGCACGTGGTTGAGTCGCATATCCTTCAGGAAAGAAAGATTGGTACATTCGGAGCAATCTCTCTAGTCGTTAATAAGATCATTGGGGCTGGGTATGTGATATTTTCGGTTACTCTAGAACTCGCCGTTGTTAATCTTTACAAGGATATTTTCAACTCCAGCTACTATTTACAAGCTCAGTGGAAGTGTCGGCATGGCTTTAGTACTCTGGGTTATTGCGGGCATGATCTCTACGTGTGGTGCGATGGTAATGCTGGAGTTTGGAAGCGGCATCCCCCGGTCTGGGGGTATCAAGATTTACCTTGAACGATCATTTTCCCCTAAGCTTCTGCAAACATGCGTATATCTCTTTTATTGTGTTTTCCTTCGTGAGTAACGCGTTCCCAACCATTTAATTCTTTGTTTACTTATCTGGGGTGTTGGCCAGAGGTCTCCGCCAGTAACGCTATTACGTCCTCCTCCTACCTTCTGCTTGCTGGAGGTGTTGAATCAACTACGTGGAAACTTCGTGGTGTAGCTATTGCTGCCGCTGCCTTTGCAGTGGGTCTTCATACTATCGCTCCAAGAGTTGGAAGAGGATTACAAGATCTTCTCAGCGCGGTCAAGCTCTTCACCTTACTTTTCATCGTATGCACTGGCTTTGCTGCTCTTGCAGGTCACCGCAGGGTGCCCGATCCTCACAATTTCGACATCCACACATCATTCAAAGGCACATCGAACAATGGTTATAATATCGGCACTGCACTTCTGGATGCGATCTTTTCGTTCCAAGGCTATGACAATGTCAATGCGGTATGATCTTTCCCTGGCTGAGAATCCTTCCGTTCTCTAACTGAGATATTTTGCTTTCTTAGGTATTATCGGAGGTGAAGAATCCACAGAAGACTCTTCGTATTGCCCTTCCATCAGCAATGGGAATAATCACCGTTCTTTATCTTCTGGCAAACGTAGCCTACGTACGTGTCACTTTCATACATCATTCAAAAGATTTCTACTGATAGATTTCACGAGAGCAGTTCGCTGCGGTACCGACAGAGGAGTTTACCAACTCCAATATCACAATAGCGGCATCGCTATTTAGGAATGTATTCGGAAACTCGGCCGCAACAAAAGCTCTTCCTGCCCTTGTTGCCATTTCGGCCGTGGGCCATCTGCTCGGTATCGCATATACCGTCCGTAAGTCTCTGCCTGTGTGCGATAGGCTGGGAATCCGGAAGCTAACATTTCTACGTACAGCTCGCGTCCTACAAGAGCTTGCCAAAGATGGAATAACCCCCTTCCCTAATATCATGATGCAGAACCGCCCTTTCCGGACGCCCGTTGTTGCGTTGGCCGTCCATCTAGGAGTCACAATACTATTCATCTGTGCGCCCCCGGCAGGCGATGCTTTCAATTTCATTGTCAGCTTGAGTTCATATCCAACGACCTTCCTCCTGGCATGCATCACAGTGGGGTTAATCAAGCTCCGACTCACCAAGAACGAGAGCTGGGCCTCGTCGTTCTCCGCTCCATGGGTGGTGATTGCATTCTATCTTGCAGGTAGCATAGTGAGTCCTCCATCATACCCTAGGATGTCCTATCTTCCTAACCACTTTTCTAACTGTACAAAGTTCCTGCTTATTATGCCTTTCATCCCGCCGCCGAATGGAAAGGGAAGCACTAACCTTCCCTACTGGCTAAGCCCCGTAGTAGCTCTGGCTATCTTGTCACTGGGTATTATATATTATCTTCTGCGGTTTATTCTATTCCCTTGGGTCTTCAGGTATACATTGCAGCCTATTGCCGTGGAGCTTAGTGATGGATCTCAAGTTACTAGATATAGGATTCGAAAAATTAGCGAAACAAGCTAGATGCCGATGGCTTAATATAAGTTTTGTGGTATTTTTGCTCGGAACGTTCTACAGAACAAGCAGATAACACATGTACAATCAAAAGTAGATTAGTGGGCATGACTAGTATATCACTCTGATACGTTCAAGGCAGCATCATCACTGATCACGCCAATTGCAAAGACAAGAGCCAACTGAATGAACAGGAGGTATAAAATGAAAAACAACAACAGCTATAGATCAACCATTTCACACTCCTCAACCGGCCTCAGTCCAAAGGTCTTCAGACCACCATGCCAACTCCTCCCAAGAGCCGTCTTTGCAAACTCTCTCATCTCACTCTCATAACCACCAATCACACCCCCATCGACGTTCTCGATGCCACCAGCATCGACAATTGTCCTAGCCAGATCCGCCGAATCCCTGAGGGCTGTAACGAGGCCCAAGGCTCCCGTGGGCGGCATTACGTGAATTGCATCACCCAGCAGCGTCACCCGCGGTGAAACATCCCAGTCGGGAAGATCTAACGGAGCAGATGAGAGTCTTAACGTCGATGCTTGTCCCCTACCCTGCATCTCAAAGACGGCCCGTAGCCCAGGGCTCCAGCTTTTCGTTATACGGATCGCTAGATCCGCTGCTTCATCATTGCTAAGACACAGCAGCTCCTCATCCGGAATGCCTAACCTCGAAGAATGGGCCCCAAGAACCCAGTAAACATACGGACTCGGAAGCTCAGGCTCAGAGATAATATGCGCATTCGGGAACCACGTGGATTCGAAAAGCAGATACACCTGCCCCTCTGAGACAGTGTCATCAATGGCTATATTCATTCCTCGTTGATATTGCTCTGGGAACCTCGCAAGAAACTCCGGCGTTATGGGTGTCTTTCCATACAAGGCACGCATCCCTGTGTCGATGACCTTGGCCCCCGGGATAAGCTGTTTGCGAACGCGAGATCGCACACCATCCGCACCGACGAGAATAGCACCATCCTCGACACTCCCGTCTGTAAAATGCGCAGAAACCTTGTCGTCGTGCAGCGTGTAATGATCGAACCCCTTCCCGAAGAACACATCGTCTTTCAGCCCCGTAAGAAGTACTTTTCGGAACGTGGTCCGGTCAACGGTATACGGTTTGGGACCTTTGATTGGAGGGGGTCCTATACGGCGTGCGGCATCCACGGGCGACCCGTCCGGTTTGACCTGGACCCCAAATGCGAGACCTGCGGCACATGTCTGCTCGAAAAGCGTGTATATTTCTGGTGTCAAGGCGTATTGGAGCGCGTAGATCCCGTCCTCGCTGATCCGCAGTCGGTACCCTTGCGGCCGATAGTCGATCTCTGCGTCTTTTTCGAACAGCTTGAAGGGGATATTGTGTTTTTTGAGGGCTTGTGCTAAACAGAGACCTCCTAGACCGCCACCGATGATCAGAATCGGCCGGGACATGCTGTTCTATCTTGGATTTAGTCCTATTTCTGATGCTGCGGTACGTACTGTAACAACGCTTTGTGGATGTATATAAGACAGCGTTTACTACATGTTTGAACGGCAGGGGCTCAACCTGCCTTTATGTCTTGTGAGCTTTGGACTTTACGACTATTCTCGCGTGACAAACAACGACAAACAATATCGGGCCGGCCTGATAGACTCCGATCGAGATACTCTTACCCAACGGCCAATTACCGCAACAATGGCGTTGTTGGGTCGGAGGATTTTGCCCGATCGCCCGACATAGCTCGCAGCGGGCTTCTCATCGACATGCTGGAAACGGCGTAGAATGGAACCTGCTTAGTCGCCCCACTTAATCACTAGCATTAAGAGCGTATTCCCTGATTCGTGGAATCCGGTCTTCATACCATTCAAACATTCCATTGATTGGCCCCGTCCGTCCATGAGAGAACTCGGCAGTTTATCGGGACCTTGTCGATCCGTATGCTCTTCCGAATGACCAGACAGCTATAGCACACTTCAAGGAGCATAATACGTGGATCTCGACACATCTCTACGGATTGCTCTACTAGTGAGTCGACTCTAGTTATATCCTGCACAAACTCTCCTCTAAAAGGAACTGCGAATAGTATCACAGAAAATCATGGCTGTGCTCTGCGCCCGACGCGGAAAAAGGCGCTAAGCCCGTATTATCCGCAAACCAGTTACGATATGGTCGCATCTGCGACTCACTCGAGGCCGAGGGATATGATGGAAGTCGGAAGACTCTGTAAGGGCACTCAAATCCTCGTGACACAATAACTATCACGTGGTGAGAGTGACACTGGATAAATTGTCAGCCTTACGTCTTACACGCATATCATAAATCTCTCGATCAAACTCTCGCTCAGAAACGAAAAAGGAAATAGACATCTGACAGCCAAAATGTCTAAGTCACAGTACCGAGATGGCGAGGATGACATCCCCTCGTACGAAGAAAGCGTCCGATCGTCCACCACACAGAGACCACCGTACAACATGAGACCCGACGTAGCAGCACCACTGCATCGCCATCTAGATGCGAGTCGCGTGCAGCGCGTGCATTCTCTCCTCGAGCAGTATGTTGATCCACTTCTTGCTGAGCAAGGGTCATCAGGGCTGTACCAAACCACGTTCATTTTCATTCCCTCCAATGTCACGTCTCTACACCAGAGAGAAAAGACTAGCTACTCCACGCCTAAAGCGCCAGAGCCGGTCGGATTTCCTACCTCGACGGTGGTCAAGCTTGTTCAGCTGGAGGGTGAGGCACATACGATGGAGTTCTGGAGGCAGCCGGCCGTGTTGCGAGAATTGGAGTCCTCGCTTCGAGCTAGGCTTGCGGCGAGTGGCCATCATGTTGAGGGCCAGGAAGGGGTTCCCACATCTGCTAAAGAAACCGAATCGCTAAAGTCGAATAACGACAATAAGCCTAAACAGAAGAAGTCGCTCTGGGGTAGACTGACAGGCAACTCTGAGGCTGTTATTGTGGACCGGAAGCTGGGTTGGCGTGCCGACGACGGAGAGACGCCCGGTCGCAAATTGTCCAGGGACCAGGTCAGAGTTATCGTGGAGTGGAAGGAGGTTTGTCTGCGCGTGGAGAATGACCTGGGTCTATACGATAATTGCAACGCACCGGGAATTTGTCTCTCTGTGGAGGTCGGGGAGTAGGTGTTTGTTGTACAACTGCGTCTGCGGGAGCTATTATGGACCCGGGAAGCGGCATACGGACAAGTGTCGAGATACCTGCACTCATGCGCCTTTAGTCTTATTGTATATACAAAATCCTAATACAGCTTGAGGCGGCTTCATAGGTCCGGCCAATGCTTTGCACGTGTACTGTAAACACGACCTAGTTCATTCCTATCGTGATAAGCGGAGATCTACAGTATATCATCTTCCCCATATATCGAGCTATGAGTCACTTTTGAATGTGTTCATCTACACAACTAAACCATCTGATCCCATTAATATATGACTAAAATGGACAAAGTCTATCGCCAGCATCATGCTCTGCGCTGAACTTCGCCAATAGGCTACGAACGGCAGATTCAGTCGCTTTAGCATCCCACAACCCGTCTCGGCCTGGTAGGTTGGGGTGTTGCAGGAGGAACAGCGCAGTCTTCAATGTGTCCTGGCGAGTCGTCCTGAGACAGGCGTATAGTAGACCTCCAACAAGCTGTGTCGATAATGTAAATGGCCGACTTCTGGTGGCAGTATATTGTGGCGACGTATTAAGAAGAATCGACATCTCTGAGAGGGCAGCGTCAATCCAGTCGTCGGGAGCTGGTTGGGACCGAGAGGTTTTTAAAGGCGATACAGGACGGCTGATGCTGGACAACAGCCCACAAGGCCAGGGGAAACGTTGGAGGATTACAGCGTAGTACATTTGTGCTTGTATACGCAGCAACAATATACGCTTAGCAACTCTTTCTTCGCTGCCTTCGTATAGCTTATCTACCGCGGTCAGGTACCGTTGAAACTGCCCCTCTAGGACCCCTCTCTCGTGTAGTACCTGTGGAGGTATTTCCGATAACGGGTTATGCTTGACTTTGGCATTAATTGCAAGGTGTCTGGCTATCCAATTTTGAAGCTTGAGAAGCACAGCCTCGCTCTGAGAAACATCGATAAAAGTCTCAGGAACAACATTCTGCGTGCCACATGTTTCGCTTGGGGATGTCAAGGCGAGTCTAGGAAGTCCCCGTTGTTGATCGTAGACACTGGCCTGAACATCTAGACATGAGAGTAAAGCTGCCAGATGGGGAATAATATCATCGGGTTTGGACAACGATGACGAGTCGTTTTGACATCGCTGTAAGAGCGTCAGGCTAAGGTCGAGATGCTTGATCGCTTGCTTGGTATTTCCAATGAGAGCCTCAAAGGCATAAAACAGAACACTACAAGTAAGCGCGACTTCTGGCAAAGCACCCGGGGAGGAAAGATAGGTCGTCAGCTGTCGATGGCACTTGGCGATGCGCTGTAAGGTCTTCAAAGGTGGAAGTTTGTCATTATTGTAGCCAGATAATTCCCCAGATAGGTGATTCTGGTAAAGAGAACTGAAGGTCACCAATGCGCTACGAATGACGGGCTCGTGATGGCTTCGTTGCAGGATTAAAGTAGTCCACAAGGTCGGATCGGTATAACTTGATAAGCTCTCGGCAGCTTGGCAGCAGTAATAGTGTAGCAGCTGCCTATCTGCCTGGCTACCAGGAACTTTGAATGGGATGCAATATGAGTTGATCGAGGCTGGCCTCCAAATCCACTTCTGCACCAATGCTGAGTTGTCGGACGGATATCCGTCGCAGTGACGGCCGGTGCTGGTGCATCGCAGGCAATCAGGCCTTTGCTCGTCGCATTTTACCCGGCGAATCCTTCACAGGCCGTGAGTCAAGTTAGGCATCTCTCAATCTCACGTAGTGGGGAATGTATCGGCCGCTCCTTACTTGCACGTAAGACAACCAGTCTTGACTTTCGGCGCGCTGCGCCGAGACTTCTTTGTCAATTCGGACACTGAGCCCATCTCACTTGCTGGTTTCTTTCTCATATACGCTAGTTATCAGGAAATACTGGAGGTATCTTTTCAGAATGTCATCATCCTTCGGAATCAGACGTTGAGTCTAAAAATAAAGCCCCCGCTTTGCCTTTCCGAGCCACGTGCATCAGCCACAGCCCTACCTGGAGATGAGTAGTAGGCAAGTACTCTATATCGTCATACTTCATTCTTCATCAAGTCAAATGAACTGAACGTTGCGATGGAGATTTTTGGTATCACAAATTATCATCAGTCATGTCGGTATCCTATGGGTGGATGTATCTAAAAACAAGGGGCAGAGAGTACCCCAGTAAAGTATATATATCTCAAACATGGCGTGTCCGTTATCATTGCTAACCATTCGGGCCTATTAAGTACCGGAGGGGAGCAGAAAGAAGAGCCGGAGATGAGTTCGAGCCCGGGGTGTTACATCGTGAAACTTTGGTTTACTACAGAATGGACCCTTAATCATTCTACGTAAATACATAGGCTACGTCTACTTCAAACTTCCTGCTCTGTCCAACGTAGTCTGCAGGGCAACGTGGCAGATCCACACCGTGGACCTTCTGGAACATAACGGACCAATTGATTTAAGCATCCTTTGAACAACAAATGTCTTGGCAACTAAATATCGCCACCGCAAAATAAGGGTATCGAGAGTAGTATGCAGATCCGTCGTCATGGGCATCCACCATTAGGAATAATTTAACAACAATCCGCACAGCAGAAACAGCCCGTTGGGAAACTTGGTTCATACCCCGTTAGCTGAGAGGAGAGTGAAAGAAACCAAAGAAAATGAGAAGTAGAAGTAATATTACTAACCACGAGGAACCATGTTTTACACCGTCTTCCCCCTTCTTGTTGACCAGCTCGGTTTCTATAGCTCTGATCGCATTTCCATATCTCCCATCGCATTGATCCTCTAGGATATTCTTCGCCTGGCGAAGTTCTGACTCTTTCATCCAAGTCAACAGAAACTGCCCCAAACGTGGCCTTTGAATATCAATGGCATCTTCCATTGGCCCTTCGATTCTTTAGTACGCGTTGACGATTGGAGGTATTCAGACAGCTATAAATAGAAAAGACAACAAAGGGAAGATAAGAGCGAAGAATCTAACATACTGTTTACTGTTCTCATTTGCCGGAATGATTTCCAGATCTTCATCTGTTCTTCCTCCCGGGTATGCAGAAAGGCCTGGAATTTGAAAACTTTCTTTCCGACGCGCAAATTCTGCCACCAGAAATACTCATCGCACGAGAGATACTGCTCCAATGCATCACCTAATATGTACCTGGCAAGTCCATCGTCGGGGTAGCCAAATCGATACGGTCCGAGACTGCGGTCCATCTTCCCACCCGCGCGTAGTCAATACAGGGGCACGCAAGACGGAAAAGGGTGGAATCGACAACATACACTGGAATCCTTTACTGTCTTACAGAGGTCGGGCGTGGGGAGTGGATCATAATATATGACGTCGTTTCAACAAGCTCGTTGCGAATCTCCTTAGTGTAAGATCCCCTGAGAAGATATGGGACAGAGGAGGTTGGTCAAGGCTCTAGAGGGTCAGACAGAGTGCCAAGGCGCAGTACCTGACTAAGGAAGGTCAACCGTACTCGTTTAGGGCCGTCGACTCTGCTATTGTGATTGATTTCCCCCTGCCTGTGTTCCGTCTTTTACGCGGCAGAGTCCCACTGATAGTCCCCCACACATACTGGACACAGTTTAGATCGCCGCTGAACCCTAGAGCTTAGTTCTTCTAGCGTCGAGGCCCCCTCTTTTGTGCCCTGTTCTTTCCTCTTTTTTTTTTTTAGCAATTTCACCCAGAGATCCTGCTGAACACAGCCCCGTCAAGACACCAATCATAACTGTGCCCCAATGGTTATCCATGGAATACACTGCCCCGTTTCACTTGGCCGGTATCCCCTTAAATAATTTTGTTGACTGATTTAAATCTGACGTTAATTGTAATCATCTACTTCGGAGTGAAGTCAAAGCTTTTCACAGTGTCCCACTCGTTTCATGTTACAAATGGGGTCTGCTATTACCATGGGTGGTTAGATATCAAAGCAGAAACATAACTTGCTCCATCCTCCGGCCAATGCCCACTCTGGTTGCAGTCGGCATAGACGCACCAGTTAGAGGGTAATACAGTATCACCACACAGGCACGACAGAGACACTGTGTACGGTCGTAGAGCCATAGCCGAATAAAGTAAGAGTAAGATTTCGGCTCTCAGGAGACCGCAAATCCTCGCGGAGAGGACCTGTTCATCGGAATGGCTGGTGGACGATCGTAGTCCCACACTGAGCCCTAGCATACGTCAACCTAAATCTCTTTAATGTGAGCTGAGGTAACTCGCCCCAGGGTCCAGGCGCGCTCCACGAAACTGACATCCAAACGATCTCGTCGCTCGTGCAGTCGACACAAATGACCGGTTCTTCCCCAGGAAAATATTCCCCTTCGTGCTTTGATTTCTTCCGAGTTCTTTGTTATTCTTTCTTTGGTTCGAAGCAGCAATGCTCCTAATATCAATACTAGCGATATTCAGCTTTCTTTGCTCTGCGCCCGTCTCTGCTTCGCGAGTAATCAAATCCAACTCTCTAGACCTATGTACCGACAACAAGAACTTCACAGCTACATTTTTCAATGTAACCTTCACACCTGATACCCGTCTCCTATCCGTGGGCTTCAACGGCACGGTAGCTATCTCCGGAAATGTGGTGGCAGACCTGTCGTTGACGGCCTACGGCAAAGAGGTCATCACGAAGACACTGGACCCATGCCAGATGAAGGAACAGAGCCTGTGTCCCATGAACATTGGCAAGCTAGAGATTCCGGCGATCCAGACGACTCTGCCACAGTCCGTCATCAACGATGTTCCGAGTAAGATGCACCCGCTCGCGCCACTGGTGCAACACAGACTGACAAATGTATCCCGCTAGACATTGCATATACTGTGCCGGATCTTGATGCATCTGTTCGCGTCTACATTAATTCCACAGATACGGGGGCCCCGATTGCCTGCATGGAGGCCAGCCTCTCCAATAGTAAATCTGTTCACCAGCAGGCAGTGGGGTGGGTCATAGCACTGGTCATCGGTCTGGGTCTGGCGTCGTCGGGGATTGCATCGATACTAGGGTATTCACATGCTGCATTGCATGTTGCAGCCAAAGCGCTCGCGCTGTTCGGCTTCGTGCAGTCTCAAGCCATCCTCGGCATGACCAGCGTCCACATGCCTCCGATCGTGGAGTCCTGGACTCAGAATTTCCAGTGGAGCCTGGGTATTATGCATCTAGGGTTTATTCAGAAGATTGCCAACTGGTATCTCAGGGCCACAGGTGGGACTTCGTCGAACTTGCTATCCGACCTTGAAAACACGTCAGTCAATGTGCTCAAGCGGAAGCGATCGTTGGGTTTCGGCGCAGGTGCACTGATGAAGAGAGATTCGGGGGAAGGCGCAGCGCCCGAGGGATCTAAGACTATCTATGGCATCGTACGTGTTGGCTTCAAGGCCAGCATTGAGCGGACTGATATTTTCATGACGGGGTTTATCTTCATCATGGTCTTTATTGGATTCGCGATGCTGATCGTAGGATTAGTCCGCCTTGTCTCTGGTCTTCTTGCAAAATCCGGGAAAACCGACAGTACGAAGATGGACAGCAACACATGGGCAGTCACCATGAAGGGCATCCTGCTCCGTCTGATTCTCATGTGTTATCCTGCAGTGTGCGTTCTCTGTCTCTGGGAGTTTGCCAGTCATGATTCCCCTGCCGAGGTAGTCCTAGCCGTTGTCATGCTCTTGTCGATGACTGTTATACTGGTCATGGCAGCTGTACGCATAATACGCAAGGCCAGGCGCTCGGTTGAGATATACAAGAGCCCAGCCTTTATGCTACAGAACGACACTATGTTCCTGAACAAATGGGGCTTTCTATA